GATTTGCATGTTCATGAGGGAAATAAGTATTTGATCTCCTTCACAAAACATGACTTAGTACTTGGTGGCAAATCCCTTGTTGGTAGAGGTCAAACGTTTCCTGTAGTTGGCCACCAGGTTTGCACACATCTGAGGAGGGATTTTGGCCCACTCCTCTTGGCAGATCCTCTCCCAAGTCATTAAGGTTTGGTGGCTGACATTTGACAACTCGAACTTTCAGCTCCCTCCACAGATTTTCAATAAGATTAAGGTCTGGAGACTGGCTAGGCCACTCCAGGACCTTAATGTGCTTCTTCTTGAGCCACTCCTTTGTTGCCTTGGCCGTGTGTTTTGGGTCATTGTCCTGCTGGAACATCCATCCACGACCCATTTTCAATGCCCTGGCTGAGGGAAGAAGGTTCTCACCCAAGATTTGACAGTACATTGCCCTGTCCATCATCCCTTTGATTCGGTGCAGTTGTCCTGTCCCCTTAGCAGAAAAACACCCCCAAAGCAGAATGTTTCCACTACCATGTTTGACAGTTGGGATGGTGTTCTTTGGGTCATAGGCAGCATTCCTCCTCCTCCAAACACGGCGAGTTGAGTTGATGCCAAAGAGCTTGATTTTGGTCTCATCTGACCACAACACTTTCAACCAGTCCTCCTCTGCATCATTCAGATGTTCAGTGGCGAACTTCAGATGGGCCTGAACATGTGTTTTCTTGAGCAGAGGGACCTTGCAGGCACTGCAGGATTTCAATCCTTGTAGTGTGTTACCAATTGTTTTCTGGTGACTGTGGTCACCAGACCTAGGGAGACTGACAGTTGTTTTGTGTTTCTTCCATTTGCAAATGATTGCACCAACTGTTGTCACCTTCTCATCAAGCTGCTTGGCGATAGTTTGGTAGCCCAGTCCAGCCTTGTGTAGGTCTACAATCTTGATCTTGACATCCTTGGACATCTCTTTGGTCTTTTGCCATGGTGGCGAGTTTGGAACCTGATTGTTTGATTGCTTCTTTGGACATGTGTCTTTTATACAGGTAACAAAATGAGATTTGTAGCACTCCTTTTAAGGGACTGCTTCTAATCTCAGCTTGTTACCTGTATGAAAGACACCTGATAGCCAGAAATCCTGCTGAATGATAGAGGATCAAATACTTATTTCCCTCATGAATACGCAAATCAGTGCATAATTTGTTACACATGCATTTCTTTTGAATTTTTTGTTGCTATTCTGTGTCTCAGTGTTACAGTACACCTACCATTGATTTGTAGACTGATCATTTCTTTGTGAATGGGCAAACATTCAAAATCAGCAGGGGATCAAATACTTATTTCCTTCACTGTATGTATGTATACATGTTGATCAAATCCCCCTTTAAAGTGGTAGTAAACCCACTTTAATTTTTACCTACAGGTAAGCTTATAATAAAGGTAAAAATTAACAAAAACTTTCCTGTAGGTAAAATGAATATCTCCTGAACATGCACCATTTAGGAGATATTTGGGTTTTTGTTAGCTGGCCTATGCGCTCTAAAGGAACAGCATACCCGTGCCATTCCTGCAGAGCAGTGTGCTGTGGCCCGTGACTCCCGTGCGCATGCGTGGGAGTGGCATCATTGTGGCTCAGCCAGTCAGATGGCCAGAGCTTGCGAATCAGGAAGGAAGACATAGCATATAATGCCATTGCCTTGCAGAGAATTTTTTTTTTTTAATTTTAATACGGTTTGCTACCGGTTTAATCTCTTTTCAAGAGAATTAATTCAGTTCATTAAGAGGAAAGCTAATCTTTCCTCATAGCTGAACTCCTCCATATCTTATCAGTTTGGTTGCCGTTCTCTGCACTCCAGTTCACTGATATCCTTTTTGTGAATTGGTGGCAAAAACTGAACTGCATTTTCCAGATGAGGTCTTGCTAATGATTTGTACCGGGGTGAAATTATCTCTCTCTCTCTGGAGTCTATACCTCTCAATACAAGAAAGTATTTTGCTCACTTTGGAAACTGCAGCTTGGCATTGCATGCCATTATTAAACGTATGATCTACCAGAACACCCAGATCCTTCTCCACAATTGATTCCCCCAGTTGTACTCCCCCTAGTATGTATGATGCATGCATATTCTTAGCCCTTAAGTGCATAACCTTACATTTATCAACATTAATCCTCATTTGCCACAAAGTTGCCCAATTAAACAGTGCATTGAGGTCGGCCTGGTAGGAGTGGTAAAAGTGGTAGAAAGTAAACCCAAACCTAATTCATTACAATACAAAGTGAGATGAAGTGCATCCGTTCTATAAACATCCAATCATGAAAAGGAAACTGGTATGTTCAAATTCTATGCTGTACAGTTGTGCTCAAAAGTTTGCATACCCTGTCAGAAATGGTGAAATTGTGGAAATGATATTCAAAATGTGACTGAGTAGCGATCATATGAAGCCATTTGTTATCATGTAGTTCTTTGGTTCCTTTTTAAATAACCGTAACCGAAATCACCCAAGTGCCCCAGGAATGTTTGGCCTTTGTACAGAGACACAAGGTGACACACACAGGTTAAAACGGCATGTAAAGATTAATTTTAAATTGCAGTGAAGTGTCTGTGTATAAATAGTGAGTTTTAGATGTCACATGGATGCACTGAGCAGGCTAGATACTGAGCCATGGGGAAGCAGAAACGTACTGTCAAAAGACCTGCGTAACAAGATAATGGAACTTTATAATGGTGGAAAAGGATATAAAAAGATATCCAAAGCCTTCAATATACCAGTCAGTATTGTTCAATCATGTATTAAGTGGAAAATTTGAGGATCTCTTGATACCAAGCCAAGGTCAGGTAGACCAAGAAAGATTGCAGCCACAACTGCCAGAAGAATTGTTCAGGATACAAAAAAAAAAAAAAACACGGGTAACCTCAGGAGAAATGCAGGCTGCTCTGGACAAAGACAGTGAGGTTGTTTCATGGGGCACAATACAACAATACATGAACAAAAATGAGCTGCATGGTTGAGTTGCCAGAAAGAGCTTCCTTTACTGCGCCAATGCCACAAAAAGCCTGGTTACAATATGCCCAATAACACCTTGCCATGCCTCACAGCTTCTGGGACACTGCAATCTGGAGTGATGAGATGCAAACAGAGCTTTATGGTCACAACCATAAGCATTGTGTTTGGAGAGGGGTCAACAAGGCTTATAGTGACAAGAATATCATCCCACTGTGAAGCATGGTGGTGGCTCACTGATGTTTTGGGGGTGTGTGAGCTCTAAAAGCACAGGGAATCTTGTGAAAATTGATAGCAGGATGAATGCAGCATGCTATCTGAAAATACTGGCAGACAATTTGCATTCTTTGGCATGAAAGCTGTGAATGAGACGCTCTTTGACCTTCTAGCACGACAGTGACCCTAAGCACAAGGCCAAGGTGACCCTCCAGTGGTTACAGCAGAAAAAGGTGAAGGTTCTGGAGTGGACATCAGTCTCCTAAAGTTATTGTCATAGAGGCACTCTGGGGAGTTCTCAAACATGCAGTTCATGCAAGACGACCAAAGATTTTGTATGATCTGGAGGCATTTTGCCAAGATGAATGTTCCATTAGATGACCTGCAAGAATTCATACCCTTATAGACAATTATTACAGAAGACTGCACAGTGTCATTGTTGCTAAAGGGCCAATACACCGTATTAAGGACTAAGGGTATATAGACTTCTAAACAGGGTCATTTTATTTGTTTTGTTGCCAGGTTTTGTTTTATGATTGTGTCACAACTACTCAGGGCCCATCTTACAAGAATGCGGTGCGGGAAACCCACGTTCCCATGATCTCTATCTGGTGTCAGGATCCATTCGCACTACGAACTGCATTGTAATTGTAAAGGAATGCTGTGCAGTTCCTGTACAATTCACATGCAGTTCTGTGCAGTGCGATTTCAGTCAGTTCTTTTTGAATGGGTTCAAATCGCACAGCAGTGCATGAATAGTGCATGCACTACTTCTTGAAACGTACTGCAGTTGCATCCCTCTGGATCCCATAGTGCTTTTGTACCATGGGTTCGTGAACTGCTTTTGAGGTGTCGTTAATTTTGCACTGATAACCGCTGCAGATTACAAGGGAAGTGCAAACGCAGGTTTCCTGCACCACATTCTAGTATAAACGAGCCCTCAGTGTTAAGTTAATGACACCCCAAACACAGGTTGCTAACGCAGTGCGTTTGCCCGCACCAGATCACCTGGTACAAAAGTACTATGCAATCTGGTTGCAGTGAGTTTCAAAAAGTAGTATGCATGCACTACTTTTAGGTGTGGTGCAGTGCGATTTCAGTCCATTCAAAATGAATTGGTTGAAACAGTACTACACAGAACTGCATGTGAATCCCACAGGAACAGCTCTCCTGTGGGGTTCCTAGTGTGAATGGGCCCTTAAGCTTCAATAAAAAATAAATTTAACATAAATCCAACCTCCCTTCATTCATTTGTAAATTGGGCCCTGTGCCTTGGCTTTGGAACATATGAAGTTTTAGTACCAGAGTAGTGTAGACATCTTTTCCAGCAACCAGTCAATCCTCTTTCTTCTGTTTCTGGAAATACTAAAACCTTTTTCTGCTTTCTGGAATCTGAGTTTATTGCGCAATCTCGTGTGTACGTTTTGTGTATACATATTGAATTGAACACAGCATTGTTCAGCCATTCCACGAAAGTGATTATTTTTTCAGAATGGTGCAGTTATTGTAAAAGGCACTCTGGCCTTGACAGCTCAGAGCTATCCTTGTCTGTTTGCTGCAGTAGTGAGATAGCAGAATGCACACAGTATTGTGTTTTACAACAAATGTGCAAAAATGTTGTGCATGATGAAATGTAAATGTGTCTAAGCTGCTGTATCACAGATTCTTGAGGCTTTTAATATTTATACCCTGATACCAGTTGTAGCTTTTTCCGAGCGAAACTGATCTATGCAGCTGTTTAATATTCATGTATTCTGGGAACGTTTGGCAGAGCGAGGCTGACTCTGGAGATTTGTTCTTTATTTCAGACGAAAAAGAAAGAGCTGGCTCGTAGAGACCTCGATATAGAGGACGGAGACAGCATGATTTCCTCCGCCACGTCTGACACTGGCAGCGCTAAAAGGAAGAGGTACGTTTTTGATGCCTGGAATTTACAACGCTTCTGCTTCCATTGTGTTTATATTGTAGGCCAGGGTTTTTCATCAGTTTTGCTGGTTGTGGATCCTCTTCACACAAGCAGGGATGATTAAACTGTCACCATTAGCTACCCGTACTGTCTAATAGACTGATGATAATGATGGTGTTCTAATTGACCTTTTAGTTACTGAATATTGAGTGTGTTGTATTCGCTTCACAGATGTCATTTGATGCTTGTTAACCTCAATAAGACCAACACTTGTTGGTGCATTCATAAGGACCACTGTCCTTATGAATGCACCATCGAATACACAATATTCGAAATGCAGACTGTATGAACTGGTAGCTTGGGTCAGTGCTACAATACATTTAATGGGTAAAGCTTAGAAGAAATGCATCTCCTAGCCTTTAAGTTATATTATGCCCATGTTCGCTTATTTAAAGTTTCAAACTCTTAAAAAGAGCTGCAATAAGCACCAGTTATATCTACACTATTCACATAATCATCTGATCTTAAAGCGGAGTTCCAGCTGAAAAAAAATAAAAGTCAGCAGCTGTCAGTAGCTGCTGACTTTTAAAATACAGTCACTTACCCATTCCTCGGTCCAGCGGTGTCCTCACCAGGGCTGGTTTCACCGGCCGTCTTCTCTCCCTGGCGCCGGCATCTTCAGTGTGGGCACCCAGCTGTGAGAGCTTGCAGCTTCACTGCGCTTGCACGAGAAGCATTGTGCTTTGTGAATGGTTCTGTAGTCTTCTGGGACCTGTCACGTGTCCCAGAAGACTACGGGGAGGGAGGGGGGAGAACAACTTCCGCTTCTAGTCGCCTTAGGCGATCGCAGCGGAAGTGGGAATGGGTACCCACTCCCCAAAGGTGCCAATCCTTAATGGGGATTGGGGGACAAAGACTTTTGGGTGGAGCTCCGCTTTAACACACGGGAGAACACCTGGCCAAAAATAATTCTGGACCTCCTGGTTTGTAGAATCTGGTACCTTGCAAATTTTCATCCTTGTTCGCTTCAGAAGCCAAGACAAGTATAACAGTTCATGTCAGGCTGAACATGGCTCCGTGAGGAGTAGGCGTTCCAGACGCCCACGCCACGCGACGCGTGACAGTAGCTGCCTTACCTGAGTCCCGGGCTGGTGTGGTATCGGATCCCACGGGGACCCTGAGTGCAGGCGGTCCTGGTGGCAGACGATGAGGTGTGCCGGTGGTGACGGTGCTGAGCCCTTGGGAGAGTCGCGGGTGGCAGTGGTCGAAGAGGAGTGCTGGACTCCCCGGACGCCGATGGACTGGGAGGTGGCGGTGCTGGAGGAGAAGGGGACAGTGAGAGCGTCCATGTGACCGAAATGTGGCGGAAATGTTCGTGAAACTACAGATGCCCATGAAAAGTGAGATGGGGACTTTACGCAATGATTTGGGCTGGATACTAACTTGAATTGAAGAAGCAGAGGGGAGAATGGAGGCATACACGCAAATAATCAATAAATTAGAAATGCAAGTGGAAGTGATGCGTAAAGAACAGAGAAAGCTCTCATTTAAAGTGGAAGACCAGGAGAATCACGATAGAAGAAATAACTTAAGGAGCAGGGGTCTACTAGAAGAAGAGGAACAGGAAGAGGACTTACGGGAAAAAATAGTGTGTAATCCAATAATGGGAAGATCAGCGACAGAAAAGTAAAAAATTGAGAGAGTACATAGCATTAGACGGCCAAAAGTAATACTGGCGGAAAGTCCCAGAGACATGATAGTTTGATTTCATCATTTCAAGGACAGAGAGAGAATATGGAAAGGTTTACGTGACTCTATCGAAATAAAATATGAGGAAACAAACTTGCATATTTTTGCGGACATTGCTCCAGAGACACTGAATAGAAGAAGAATGTTTGAACCGTTGTTGGAGAACATGAGAGAGAAAAAAGTTTGATATAACTGGGGCTTTCCAGCATGCTTAATCAGATGGAAAGGTGGAAAATCAGCAAGGCTGAGGTTCCCAGAAGATCTCAAGGACTTCTGCGAGAAATTAGACTTACAGAAAATAGACCTTGAAGGATGGTCAGAGGGGCTTGGAGAGAATGGAAGGCAGGGACTGGGAAAATGGCAGCAGGTATCTAAGAAGAAGAGGTAGGGGGTGTGGTGTGGGGGCTGTGGGGTGAGGGTTTGAGAGAGAGCCCGTCTTTTTTTAAATTCTCTCTCTTTCTCCTTTCCCCCTGGCCCTCCGCGGCCGCACCATGGTTTCCTTGCCCCTGGTCCTTTCTTTCCCCGCTTGAGATAATGGGTGGGAGGGATCGAGGGGCAGTGAGAACATAGACCTGGCGGGAGGTCTGGAGGTCAATCATGTGGATGATATGAGGTAAGGATTGGGGTCGGCGTGCGTGTTCTGATTCTCACCCCATACTAGGAATCGCTAGTGGAAATATTTAATGACAGATTCCAAGGCAATATGTAGGTCAAGAGGGTTTTAGGGTAAAGAGAAGAAGGGGGAAAGGAGGGTGGGAAATGGGGTGGCGGGTGGGCAAACAGGGGGGGAGGGGAGAAAATGGGGATTTTTGGTTGGGAGAATAAGGAGAAAGTCCATAACTTAAAATGTTTCTATCTGTCTTCCTGTGTTGGGAATCCTGGTAGGGTAGGAAAATAATAGGTAGGAAAAAAAAAATCGAAATGAGCTTGATTAACCATTAGCCGCCCGGCCAATGGCCGTTTGGCGGCTTTAAATGTGTCCCTGCATTCCGGGTGCACGCCATTTGGCGTGCTCCCACACATGCGCCGTTTGTGCTAATGCAGAGCGGCGCAGCAGTGCGATCTGTCACCGGCCGTGCACCTCGGACACGGCCGATGACAGATCCGATTACCGGCTCCCATTGCTGGTACCATGTGACCTGCTGTGACCAATCACAGCAGGTCACATGACAGTTGTATACAATGGATGGCTTCATTCATGATGCCATCCATTGTATACTAGTGCCTAGCTGTGAATGGTCACAGCTAATCACATGCACATGTCATGTGATTAGCTGTGACCAAATCACAGCTAAGCACAAAAAAAAAAAAAAAAAAAAAAAGCTGAATGAATCGATTTCATTCAGGTAAATGCTTGCTTATAGCAAAGTAATTCTTTGCTATAAGCAAATTGTGTAAAAAAAAAAAAAAAATACTGGTCACTTCCCCAAAGTAGTACAATGTTACTATGGTAACATTGTACTACTTTGGTCATAGTAAAATATGAAAAAAAAATCTTAAAAAAATAAAAAAAAATTTTATAAAAAATTAAATATAATAAAAAAAGTAAAAAAAAAATATATATTTTTTTTTTCATACTGTCACCAGTCAGTGTCCCTGTTCACCGCCATGCCAGTTATATGATGACGCTGTACTGCACTGGTGACAGTATGTAAAAAAAAAAAAATAGTGAAAATAATTTTTTTAATTTTTTTTCATTTTCCGAAAAATTATGACTAAAAAATACAACTTCAAAAAACTCGCCATGCCTCTTGTGAAGTACGTCGGACTGTCTACTCTGCAAAAAGGGGTCATTTGGGGATATCTGTACTATTCTGACATCCTTGGACCTCAAGAAATTAGATTGGCCGTCAGTACTTCAGGATTGATCAATAATCAGATCTATACCATAGTTTGTGAACTCTATAACTTTCCTACAAACTAAAAAATACATCCTAATTTGGGTTATTTTCACCAAAGACATGTAGCAGAATACATCTCGGCCTAAATTTATGAAGAACAATTATTTATTTGTAAACTTTTATAACAGAAACAAAGAAAAATGTGTTTTTTTTTTTAAATTTTGGTCTTTTTTTGTTAATTTAGCAAAAAAAATAAAAACCCCAGCGGTGATTAAATACCACCAAAAGAAAGCTCTAGTTGTGTGAAGAAAATGATAAAATTTTAGTTTGGGTACAATGTTGTATGACCGCGCAATTGTCATTCAAAGTGTGAGAGCGCTGAAACCTGAAAAATGGCCTGGGCAGGAAGGTGTAAAATTGCATGGTATTGAAACGGTTAAGTTTATGACTTATAATGTGAAAGGGTTAAACTCCCCAACAAAAATACATAAGATACTTAGGGAAATTCACCAACACTCCATAGATGTAGTATTAACTCAAGAGACACACATAACCCATGATACAAATGTTACGTTATACACAAATTACTATTCAACATGGTACTACGCAGACTCTCCAGTTAAAAGGGTTAAAGAGGTAGCAATTGGGTTTTCAAAAAATGGGAGTTTTATCCTGGAGGGAAGAATAGAGGACCCAGAGGGCCAATTTCTATTTTTGAGGGGAAAATTACAAGGATCTGAATATACACTAGTTAATATCTATTGTCCGAATAAAAATCCAGTGACATTCTTTGAGGGTGTGTTAAGGAAACTTTCTGAATTTAAAAAGGGTAGTCTGGTTGTGGCTGGAGAATTAAATCTGTGTATGGACCCTCAGCTAGATGCGTCATCTTGTACGTGGAGAGAGGGGGGTAAGATATAAAAATTATTGAAGAGATTATTATGTCAGTGTCAATTGACCTATACTTGGAGTGTAAAACATCCAAGAGAAAGAGATTATACCTTCTTCTCCCCGGTACATGGATTGTATTCAAGACTAGGTTATATAATGATTGAACATAGACAATTGGAGCTGTTGGTTAGTGCCTATATAGAGGTTATGTCTATTTCTGATCATGTTCCTGTCATAATGAGACTACGGGTAGAAAGGGATCATGATAAAATAACTATGTGTAGATTAAATGAGATGCTTATACAGGATCCTGAATAAGAAAAAAGGTTAAGGCAGGAAATTGAGCAATTTTTTGAGCTCAATGAGACTGTGGAGGTGTCGGTGGCCACAATCTGGGAGGCACATAAAGCATATATCAAAGGAATATTGATTTCGATGGGAGCAGAAAAAAAAGAAAAGGGGGAAAAAATGAAGACGGTGATGGAGGAGCTCTACAAGTTAGAACAGTCACACAAAAAGAAGACAGGTACAGACGTATATCAGAAGATAATTATTAAAAGAGAAGAATTAAAAGATCTTATGAAACAGCAGTCGAGAAGGATATTCAACAGGGTCTCAAAATAAAGATATCAGTGGGGGAATAGACCTGGAAAATACTTGATTAAGAAACTAATCGCTAATAGGTTCCAAAATATATTATAGCTGGCTGTACGATGTGAGCCCCAGAAACCAAAAAGAAATGGAGGATGAATAGAAGAAAAACATACAGAAATATTTAAGTGAAGTGGAGTTGCCAAGAATAGCAGAAGAGAGACCTATTACCCTGGAGGAAATCACCTTGGCCCTAAAAAATACAGCTAAAGGAAAGAGCTCTGGCCCAGACGGATATACTGTGGGTTATTATAAAAAATTTAGAGATCTCCCTAAAATGTGTGGTTATATGAATGCAATAGGGGAGGGGCTGAAATGAGGGAGAAGTCATTGCAGGCGCATATAACGATTATACTTAAAGAAGGGAAAGATAGCACACAGTGTGCCAGTTACAGGCCCATATCCCTACTAAACATTGACACCAAATTGTACACTAAGGTATTGGCAACTAGACTGAAGGAGTTGATGCCGAAGTGGATACACCTGGATCAGGTAGGATTAATACCGGGAAAAGAAGGTAGGGACAATGGTCTGAGATCATTGCTCCTCCTACAAAGATTAAAAGAGAGAAACTGCCGACATTATTTCTGTCAATTGATGCCAGAAAAGGCTTTTGACAGGGTTAACTGGGGTTTCATGATTGATACGCTAGAGGTCTTTATTATTTGTTTTATCCCTGGAACCTGTCCTGGCGAGGGTAAGAAAGTGTGTAGAAATAGCTGGAATAAAGATAGGGGAAGTGGAGCATAAGGTGGCAGCATATGCAGACGACATGTTATTCTATATTGTAAATTCTAGAATAACATTGCCTAATTTAATGAGACTATTAAAACAATACGGTGAGCTATCAAATCTGAAAATAAACCCTGCAAAGTCAGAGTCTAAGCCCCCCCCACAGAGTCTCCTGTGTCCCCCCCCCTCCCTCCACAGTGTCTCCTGTGTCCCCCCCCTCCCTCCACAGTGTCTCCTGTGTCCCCCCTCCCTCCACAGTGTCTCCTGTGTCCCCCCCTCCCCCACACTGTCCCCTGTGTCCCCCCCACAGTGGTCTCCTAAGCCCCCAACAGACACACACACAGAGTCTCCTGTGTCCCCCCCTCCCACAGTGTCTCCTGTGTTCCCCCCTCCCACAATGTCTCCTGTGTCCCCCCCCTCCCATAATGTCTCCTTTGTCCCCCCCTCCCACAGTGTCTCCTGTGTCGTCGTCGTCCCCCCCACACACAAACACACACAGTGTCTCCTGTGTCTCCCCCTCACACAGTGTCCCCTGTGCCCCCCCCCACAGTGTCTCCTTTTGTCTGCCCCCCCCCCCCCCCCCCCCACAGTGTCTCCTAAGCCTCCACTCTCGCAGAGTCTCCTAAGCAAGAGCTGCCAAGCTGGTGATTGGTTGCTAGGACAGCCTAGCAACCAATCACTGAGCAGTTTTCACCCCCGACCGCACCCTCCATCCAGCACTATGCTGCCTCCTGCTCTCCACTCTGCCTGTGACATGAGAGCGGCAGAGGCTGAGGGGGAAGCAGAACTGCAGTCACAATCGACCTGTCTGCTTCCCGTGGTCAATCGACTGGTTGCAGACCCTCGATCTAACGGATCCTAAATGCACAGGATTCTATTTTCTCTAAATGCAGCTAAACTAACTGCACATAAACACAGGTATATTGCAAAATTAAACAATCAATACATGAATTTAGAAATGTCCTCTAAATGCTTACAAATGCAGGTCTTACATTGGTAGTGTGGATGAGGCCTAAGACTGGCCATTGCCAAGTTGGTCAGCATCACTAGCTCCATATTTGTATCGTTTCCATTTAAGTTCCTGAGTTAAATGAGAGACCAACCAGGAAAAAAAATAATTTGAATTTGCTAATGAATAGAAATATTGGCAAAACACATAAGATTAAAAAAGTCTGTTCCTTTTATATTATAGCTAGCACGCCAAAATGGTTTTGTGCAAGAAATAGAAGTATGTCCATATTTGTTGATGCCAATTTCAAGGCCAGCATTGCCAAACCAAGTCATTTTATTTTGAAAGTTTGTGATATGTTAGACTTGTTCAGAATGACCTTACTTTGACAGGTCCATAATACTTGCATTAAAGTGTTACTTAAACCACATCAGTAAAATCAGTCCGTATATGCAGTAAAGCACGCTTGTTATACTCACTATGGAACTTAAGGGGTTAATCCTTTGCATTGTGTAAAAAGGCTGTTTGATCCTGTCTTCTCTGATCTTCCCCTTCTTCTATTCTCCCCAATAAATCTGTTGATAGTACAGAGCTCTAGTAGTCACGCTGCACATGCTCAGTTTGGTGTGTATTACTAGAGTTTTTTTTTTTCTTTGGGAGGGTGCATGTAATCAGCACTGTCCAGACAGAGGGTCAGGGGTTATACAGCCTCATAGGACAGTCAGAGCAGAATGAAAACGCCTCCTACAAGCTAACCAGTGCTCGACCGGACACTGATAGAAGGCACAAGACTGCTATATACTACTGATGAGAAAAGGTATTTAGCAGTTTATATTTACTAAAATAATTGTACTTGGGGGAGACTATATATAGTGAATGCAGGGTCTCGGGTATAGTGACATTTTAATTCCTCCACAGATATTTTTTATATTAAACCATATTTGTAATTTAAACAATAACTGTTTGCTTTTGAAACCTGTATAATTGAGCACCTGGCCATGTTTAGGAGGTAGACCATTAAAACTTTCAAGATTTTATTAGCTCATTTCTTAGCAAAGGGCTGCTTCATGTTAAACCTATACATTTTAGTCTTAAAAGGCCAGTAAACCCCACAATGTAAACAGCTTTAACGCCCCTTCCTACTTATTGTTGCGGTTTCCCCACAGTGCAGGTGCAGCAGTATACCTTTGGTTCTCATGAGTGCTATCTGCGCTGTGCCATAGTCATCTAGTAGATCGGGTAGTTTTGGCATGTTTTTTGAAAGCGCTTCTAAATGCATGCAGGGGAACCCACAGCTGATCAGTGTAAAAGCAGCCTCACTGCTGCAGTGCCCTCGTTTTCTTGCATAACATTTTTAAAGAGATATTAAAGGGTAATTTTTTCTTTGTAAACAAACATTGCATACTTACCTGCTCTTTACAATGGTTTTGAACAGAGCAGCCCGATCCTCTTCTTGGGTTCCCCCTTGGCGCTCATGGCCCTACTTCCCTGCTGAGTGCCCCCATAGCATGTGGCTCGTGCAGGCTCACTCCTGAGCCCAGCTCTGTGTGTCTGTAAGAGACACAGAGCGCAGCTCAGCCCCACCCCCAGCTCACTCCTCACTAGCTGTGATTGACTCCCGCTGCTATGTCTCAGCCAATGAAGAGAGAGAGACCCAGGAGAGACCCTGTTCTCATGCACAGCTCTTGATCGAGGTCGGGTCCGCTAAGTATTAGGGGGCCTGTAGGGGGAGCAGCACATAGGTTTTTTTACCTTCATGCGTAGAATGCATGAAAGTAAAAAACCTTCAAACTTTACAACCACTTTAAGCCATATTACTGTGTAATAAACCTGGGCAATTCAAAAGGTTAGCTACAGTTACAATGTCAAAACAGTCACTGTATGTAGAGATATAGGCTGCTGCAGTGATGTGCAGATCCCGACTTTCTGAAAATCTGACTTGGGCTCCACCTCCTGCTGAATCTCAATATATGTTCAGTTCGAATTTATAGTGAATTGATCGTCAAAATTAACACACTTATTGTGTTGTCAATAGCAAAAAGTGCATGCATTCATTAAAGGCTACACTTTTACTTTTCTTTCCTGTTCTGGTATGTTCTTTTGCAAACCTCCTGCTTTATTCTCAATGTTAGCCTTGATATAAATGTTTTATAGATGAATTTTGTATTGATGGCTTATTGGTACTTTTAATTACTACATCTAAAGAAAGCCTTATATTGAATGTTGCACCAAGTCTTCGATACGTTAAGTTGCATTTCTTTTTCACACCTTTTATTGTCCTTAAATTCTTTTTCTATTACATTCAGCAAGAAAAACATTAGGAAACAACGGATGAAGATTCTGTTCAGTGCCGTTCTGGAGGCTCGAGAACCCGGTACTGGACGTCGTCTTTGTGATCTTTTCATGTTCAAGCCATCCAAAAAGGACTACCCTGACTACTATAAAATTATTCTGGAGCCTATGGACTTGAAAACAATTGAACAAAACATTCGGACAGACAAATATGCAACAGAAGAAGCCATGATGGATGACATGAAGTTAATATTTCGAAATGCCTGGCACTACAATGAAGAAGGCTCACAGGTTGTATTGCATTTTATTTTGATGAAATCATATTTGTATGGTTATGCTGAAGCATCTAAATGTACCACCATGTTGTATGTTCTTGTATATACTGTGTGCAATCTGATCAAGTGGCCTCTACTTTCCTTTATTCCCAGTTTTGTAAATTTCATACCACTAATTACTAATAGTCATGCAATAGTTTTTCTGAATTTTGACTGCGAATAAAAAGTAAGAACCATATTATGTCCATATTCTGCTTTTTTAAGAAAAAGTGGTGATTATGTTGCTCATTGTCATGCAGGTTTATAATGATGCACACATCCTGGATAAAATCCTTAAAGAAAAGAGGAAGGAGCTCGGTCCTGTGCCAGATGATGAGGACATGGCATCTCCAAAACTCAAGTTAAGTAAGTGAATAGTGCTTCCTGCATTCCATTCTCATGTTTGACATTCTGTGTGTGTTACAGGTTAAAGTGTCTTGCTGTTTATCGCAGTTTGGGTGATTCAGACTGAGCATGCATTAAATCCAAATATATAGAGCTGAAATACTGTGCAAATCTTAATACATTTTCCCATAATAGTTATGCTTAGTCTTACCATTCCTTATTTTTGGGCATCTCTTATGCTCTGTCAATTTATTGGCCTCAGGGGCCAAGTAAAAGGATAGCATGGCCAAACTCGACTTTCAGAGCAAAATTAGAGATTTGCATAGAACATTGACAGTCTATATCTTTGTATCAGTTGATTACTTTGACTGGTGGTTTTCACTGAACAATAATCCTGGCTTATGATTTGCCCAGGTTGTTGACAGGTTTACTTTAATATACTTTACGCTGGCTAGTGGTTATTTTTTTATTTATTTATGTCTAAATACCTAAAGTATTTAGACAGAAATAAACAATGCATCCATTTCCTAATTTATTTGTATTTTATTTCTGTAATGTGGGGGTCCACACCTTTAAAATCCCCTTCACAATACCAGAACCCCACAGAAAACGTTTGTCTTTTGCTCATTAATTAGAGAAGGGGTCTCTAGGCTTTTCAGTATGAGGGCCACATTGTATATTTTACTAATATTTGTCCCCATTGGAGACGCCCCCCTTACATTAGGGTCCCCATCAGAGACCAATTTTTTTCATCAGGTTCTCCATCAGAGTCTCCCCTTACATCAGTAGCGGAAACCATAGGCAACCTTTACTGACCTTAATCCTCAATCAGTGGACATTGAGGATACATCACTGACCCAAGCTGGTGGCTGGATAAAATCTTGTAGCAGGCTGGATGTGACCTACAACCATAGTTTGCAGAACCTAGCACTAGAGGATGAAGTAAGGTATAATGCCCGTAGCTGTTCTTCAAGAGGTTGATCACAAATATAAATGTGCTCCATCCCTAAGGTCGGTAACATTTATCCAGTCTCTGGCTCCTCTGTACAAGGCCAGACTCACATTTGTGCTTTGTGATAATGCATGTATGTTAACACAGGTTAAGTTAAGACTTATGAGTAATGACTGAAAAAACAAGGTCACTTGCACAAGCAGAGGGAATTGAAAGGTTTCCGCTGAGGTAATTAGGTCACTATGTACAGGCTCCTGCATCGTGAGGGCCCTGGCAAAAACTCAAATTATACCGGTAAGATTAGATCTCCCTGGAAGACCTGTAGTATATGTTTAGGCAAATGAAGCTGATGGCTGTTGAAGTATTAATAGTGAAGCTTTACTTTCCTCAGGAAGTTAAAAAATTTGTCTTCTTTCTAGGTAGAAAAAGTGGAATCTCTCCTAAGAAAGCCAAGTATTTGAGTCCTATGCAGCAAAAGCTGAATGAGGTGTATGAAGCGGTAAAGAATTACACTGATAAACGTGGCAGACGTCTCAGCGCCATCTTTTTGCGGCTTCCATCTCGCTCTGAGCTCCCTGACTACTATGTAACTATAAAAAAGCCAGTCGATATGGAAAAGATCAGGAGTCACATAATGGCCAATAAGTACCAGGACATTGATGCTATGTGTGAGGACTTTGTGATTATGTTTAATAACGCATGCACTTATAATGAACCAGAGTCCTTAATTTACAAGGATGCCTTGGTCCTACATAAAGTATTGTTGGAAACCAGAAGAGACATTGAAGGGGATGAGGACTCCCATGTGCCCAATGTGACACTGCTAATCCAGGAGCTTATTCACAACCTTTTTGTGTCTATGATGAGTCATCAGGATGATGAAGGAAGATGTTATAGTGACTCTCTTGCTGAAATCCCTGCTGTTGACCCCAGGTTTCCAAAGCGCCCCCCATTGACTTTTGAAATAATCCGAAAAAATGTAGAAAACAACCGGTATCGACGGCTTGACTTGTTTCAGGAGCACATGTTTGAGGTACTGGAAAGAGCTCGACGGATGAACAGGTAGGTAACTTTAAGCAGAAGTGTTGAGTACAGTAATTCTTGACACGTCAGTGCTCTGCATTCACAGAGAAGCTAGCCATAAGATGTACGCGTGCAATGACCGCTGTGCAACTCAGACTGGATAGTTATGGTGATGCTACCCTCTTCAGATCAGGGAATCTTGAACTGTACAAACAACAAAAAATAATTCAATAGGAATTTGCGCCCCTTTATCTACAGCACTTTATTAAGAGAGGATACAAAATGTACTCACAAACCAAAATTGAGTGGTAGCATATCATAAATGCAGAAACCAGACGTCCGCCCTCCAACCTCTTTGGACCAAGCGAATGACAACCAGGCAACCCTTTTCCACAAGTCCTTGCTCTGAAGAAGGGGCCAGTCCCCCATAACGTGTCAGATGGTTCTGTCATCCGTTTTGTCCTATGAAGTTGGAGGGTGGACTTTTGGTTTCTAAAATTATGATATCATGCCATTCAATTTCGGTTTGTGAGTATAATTTGTATCTTTTATCATAAATAAAGTGCTATAGATAATGCACTAGGCGTTAGCGCCCTTTTGTTTTTTGTTATTAGAAGAGTTGAGTAGGAAAGCTCTGTATTGGTATTAACTTTTTTAATCTATTTATTTTTTTAATCTTACCCTCCCCTTGTATATGCAAACTTTTATGTGTGTGTTTTATATTTTTTGGTCCCTGTGATGTCATCACAGTGGCTGAAGAACTCTTCTCAGTGCCATAGTTGGAGGGATCCAATAAGATGCTTTGCTCTTTCCTGGAGACAAAGGGTACCCACAGAACCATGCTAGCTATTCACCTTGGGCAATGTGGACAGCTCTATGCTGTCAGTCACAGTGCCTGCAGGTGGAACTGGGCGCATCCTGCTGCTGATTGGCAGTGGGAAGGGGAGTTATCTGTGCAACAACCCAGCCCTGTAGTGCTAGTAGCTGCATAGGGTGAGGATGCTGCAGTGATTTCACTGCAGGGAAATTAATATTTTCATTCTTTTGTTGTAAAGGTCACCAGGCATTTATTTGATTATACTTTTTTTTAATAAAATAATTATTAAATATACACTTTGGTTTATTTTGTAAACATTTTTAGCATAATATTTTTTCAGTTTGCCTATAGTTTTTCTTTTTATATTTTAGTTATCTCAGAATTAAGCTTTAAGCTGGCCCTGGATAGATCAAAATTTAGATGGTTCAGCAGGGACTGGTGGAAATTTGATCCATCTATGGCTGATCTCGTTCCAGAGATGTCGGTCTAATGGATGACTGACTTCCTTTGAACCTGCTTGCTGGAAAAATTTTCTTTGATCAGTACGGCACCCAATCAGTGTATTCTGACAATGGAGATGTCCCTGCTGTTAGAATACAACAACACAGCAGGGAGGATTCTTCCAGCCATGTCACTTGTGTGGATGGGGAAACCCATTCAGTTTTTATCAATCAGAATTCTGAATGAGTGAAAAAACTAATGCATGTATGGCCAGCCTTAGCTATTTCCAAAAGCAACTAGATACCTTCTTACTGCTTTTTTAAAAAGCTGGTTCCTCTGAGCAGCCGCCTTCCTTTGTCCAGTTTATCCATCTCTGTCTAACTTGAAATTGCAAGTCTCAATACAGTTTGGCAACTTCTGATTGGCACAGCAGCTGGATGGACACAGTGTGAAATACACGTTAATGGAACTGCCCACACATGAAAAGCCAGGCCCACCTTTCCATAGATGTGCAAGTGTTTAGGGATTAAGAAGGTAGGGGCTACACTGTATATAGAGGATAATTTGTCTGTATCAGTAAAGAGAGATCTGTGTTTATAATATAGGGAGGATAAGCAGGCATCTGCATAAGCTGGATAAGCTGCAGAAAAATACTAGAGGCCTTATGATGCTAATGTGTAGCCCTGCTGAGTAAAAGGACAGGAGGCACCTACTCACCTGTCATGCATAGCCGCAGAATGTCTAGTGTCATTGATTATAGCAAAGGATAAACAGTGGAGTCTCCTACATCTAGAGTCTTTAAGGGGAAAGTAGGTGAAATGCCTTATTCCCCTGCATAAGTGAACTGCTCATTATGCTAGGATAGAATTGAAGTTATAAATACATTTATGAGAACTGCTTTGAAATAAAAGCAAATATCTTGGGACTGTCTGTTATATTACTGGTAGATACTTCTTGGTGTATGCTGGGGGAGGATGGGAATAGCAGAACCAGGATTTCTGCAACATCTGTTTGTTTTCTAAATGTCCTTATTTTCTTTAAGAACGGACTCTGAAATCTATGAGGATTCTGTGGAGCTTCAGCAGTTCTTTATAAAGATCAGAGATGAGCTTTGCAAGAATGGGGAAATCCTTCTGTCACCTGCTCTGAGCTACACCACTAAACATCTCCACAATGATGTTGAGAAGGAGAAAAAGGAAAAGCTGCCTAAAGAATTTGAAGAAGACAAGGCCAAACGGGAAGAGGAAAAGAAAGGTATATATGATTTGGCTCTATTCTTGACATCTGTTATCTACTGATATCATTATTAGCTGTGCTATACACTGAATTTGAAAAAAGTTCCTGCACTATTTTTTGCAATTTCATGTGCAACTTGCATTGACATCTGTATATGAAGACACACAGATGCCAGCAAGCCGCACATGAAGTCACACTGATTGACAGCTTTGAAACTGCGCTGAAGTAGCGCAGTTTCAAAGCCCATTTTTGTGAACCAGGGCTAAAACAGGAGATTTCCTTTTACTTTCTGTCCTGGAAATGCAGCAGGAAGTGAAACAAAATCTCTGTAAAGTGAAAAGAATTCCCCTTCTGGACAGTTGCTCCCACATATTGCTCTGGTTGCAAATCTGAACTGTTCAGTTTCCGTTTACTCTCTGTCTAAAGAACAGTGGTCAACAGGACAAAATTTAGTAGATGAATCTACCCAGTAGGAACACAGACAAAGGTTCTTATCCATCTCTTTTTATCCCAAAAAAAATATTATTGTACTTAGGAGATATCCTTTGCGGGATATATATATTTATATATATATTTATATATATATCCTATATATAGCTAGCGCCAACAGTTTGCGCAGCGCTTTACAATATAAAGGAGACAGTACAATTACAATACATTTCGGGTACAGAAGGCCTCCTTTGCGGGACCTTGACGGCGGCCCTTCTTGTGGCGCTTACAATCTAAAGGAAGGGGGAGGTGATACAAAAGGTGATAGCTGCAGGGGATGATCTGGTGGAGCCGGTGATTCGAGTACAGTTCCTTTAGGTGGCGGCTCCTTTGGGGTAGGCTTCCCTGAAGAAGTGAGTTTTCAAAGATCGACTAAAGGCAGACAGGGTGGGGGCTTACCGGACATACTGTGGTAGGGAGTTCCAGAGGATGGGAGAGGCTCTGGAGAAGTCCTGGAGGCGAGCGTAGGAGGAGGTGATGAGGGACCTTAGAGAGGAAGATATCTTGGGAGAGATATCAAAACTAGAAAAAAATCTGGCTCTATACACGTGTCAAGTGTCCTTTATGTGTTTAAGTTTTAATCAGGAGGCATTTTCTAATGTAACTTGGAAGAAAACACACAGACATCTTAAACTTAAAAGTGAACCTGTGGCTATATTAAAGTTTTGGGTCACAGGATTAGCTGATTGGCGGAAGTCCTGTACTACATAGGACTGTTCTTTGCGGGAAGGTGGGGGAAAACTGGCTTTTTGTAGACGGCGGGTAGGTCAAAAAACTGGATGTACTTCCTTTGTGATAGACAGAAAAATGCGGGTTCTTAGCCACCGGGACCTTAAAACCTCCCTAAAAAAAACTTAACAAATATGTGCTTCCTGGGAAAAAGAGCTGATAATAAGGTATACTTTTTCCTCTAAGAATTGATTCAGCTGGACGTCTGATCTTCAAAGGAATTGGAAGCAGTCCTTTGAAGGCCTTAAGCTTTTTAAGGATTATTATTTGCTACTATCACAAAATTCCTTAGGGAACCTTATGATCCTGTCTTACAGTTTACCTAAGTTTGTCCCAGTGATATTCCTTTGACCAAGCCTTTTTTTTGTGGCTTCAGTCAGCGGCCATCTTTTTGTGGACTGTGCTTACAGCTTACTTGGAGTGACCCCTGCTTGGCGGCCTCCCTCCTTTAAGGCCCTTATAGACCTTAAGACCCTGGGGGAACCTGCCTTGCGGGCCTTAGACAGCCGGCGGCTTCCTTAGGGGGCCCCTTCCTTGCTTGGCCTCAGACCTTAGCCGGCGGCCTCCTTTACCAGACGGCGGCCTCCTTTATCTGGCTGCTTCCTTGTGGGGACCACGGCCGGCGCCTTTGCGGGACCTTTCCTTTTGCGGGACCTTAGTCGGCGGCCCCTCCTTTGCGGGACCTTGGCCGGCGGCCTCCTTTGCGGGACCTTAGACGGCGGCCTCCTTTGCGGGACCTTAGACGGCGGCCTCCTTTGCGGGACCTTAGACGGCGGCCTCCTTTGCGGGACCTTAGCCGGCGGCTCCTTTGCGGGACCTTAGCCGGCGGCTTCCTTTGCGGGACCTTAGCCGGCGGCTTCTTAGGGGGACCTTAGACGGCGGCCTCCTTTGAGGGACCTTAGACGGCGGCCTCCTTTGCGGGACCTTAGCCGGCGGCGGCTTCCTTTGCGGGACCTTAGCCGGCGGCGGCTCCTTTGCGGGACCTTAGCCGGCGGCCTCCTTTGCGGGACCTTAGACGGCGGCCTCCTTTGCGGGACCTTAGCCGGCGGCCTCCTTTGCGGGACCTTAGCCGGCGGCTTCCTTTGCGGGACCTTAGCCGGCGGCGGGGCCGGCGGCTCCTTTGCGGGACCTTAGCCGGCGGCCTCCTTTGCGGGACCTTAGCCGGCGGCTTCCTTTAGGGGGGACCTTAGCCGGCGGCTTCCTTTGGGGGACCTTAGACGGCGGCTTCCTTTGGGGGACCTTAGCCGGCGGCTTCCTTTGGGGGACCTTAGCCGGCGGCTCCTTTGCGGGACCTTAGACGGCGGCCTCCTTTGCGGGGACCTTAGCCGGCGGCTTTTCCTTTTCCACGGGACCTTAGCCGGCGGCTTCCTTTGCGGGACCTTAGCCGGCTTCCTTTGCGGGCTTTCCTTTGCGGGACCTTAGCCGGCGGCTTCCTTTGCGGGACCTTAGCCGGCGGCTTCCTTTGCGGGACCTTAGCCGGCGGCTTCCTTAGCCGGGGCCTCCCTTAGCCGGCGGCCTCCTTTGGGGGACCTTAGCCGGCGGCCTCCTTTGGGGGACCTTAGACGGCGGCCTCCTTTGCGGGACCTTAGCCGGCCTTGCGGGCTTAGGGGACCTTAGCCGGCGGCTTTTTAGCCGGCGGCTTCCTTTGGGGGACCTTAGCCGGCGGCTTCCTTAGGCGGGACCTTAGGCGGCTGCTTCCTTTGCGGGACCTTAGACGGCGGCTTCCTTAGGGGGACCTTAGCCGGCGCCTCCTTTGCGGGACCTTAGACGGCGGCCTCCTTTGCGGGACCTTTAGCTTCCTTTGCGGGACCTTTGCGGCTGCTTCCTTTGCGGGACCTTTGCCGGCTGCTTCCTTTGCGGGACCTTTGCCGGCGGCTTCCTTTGCGGGACCTTAGCCGGCGGCTTCATTTTGCGGGGCCTCAGCTGGCAGTCCCTTTCGCATGTCAGCATCTTCTGGGTATGTCAGCCAGCAGCCATATCGGGCACTTCTCCCTCCGAGCCTGCAGACATGCCTTTCTTGGAGTGTAGGTTGGCCTCTACCTCGTTTTCCAGGTGGCATATTACCGTTGGATTGTGGATCGCCAGATTCCGAAGTATTGGGCCACATAAACACAGTTCTTCCTTTCCACTAGGCTGGTTCCTGCCTTTCGTGACCCCTTGGCTGGGGCCATGCGTTCCTGGGCCTACAACTTCACCTCTGCATACAAGTTTGCCCCAGCCATCTATAGGGTTGGGGGTTGTCCTTGCTGGTTTACAGGCCTATGGACCTCTCCTTTTCTCACCTTGTAGGTTCACGAACTGCTTGGGTCCAGCTGCAAATAAAACTTTTATTTTTTATCCACCGGAGAAATTCCTTCCCTCTGATTCCCATCTTTCGTTATTGCACCTTCCGCTGCATCTGCCTCATTGCAGGTATTTGTCCCTGTAACCAAGCCGGCACGGACCTGATATTTTTCTCCTCTATGTTCATGGTCCCAACAATGGAGAGGTTTACCTGGTCCAGGACCTGTAGGACCAGAATTGCTTTGTGCTGGTTCAGTGGATCAAGTTGGAATCCATTGCTTCTCCTCTCCGGGTTTCTTTCTCTAGCAATCATAGCTATCCAGTATGCAACCCTGCACTTTCCCATGTGTGAGGAACACGTGGGGTTGGGTCACACTATAAATTTGTGGTGCTACCCTTCAGGCTGGCTTTGTTTTACTGGGTGTTCTTCAAGGTGCTGGCTCTCGTCCTGGTGTTAATGAGACAATGGGGGATTGCTGTGCCTAGTTGCTTGGCCGACCTGCTTTTGAAGGTGGACTTTCAGGTCGTGCTGACGGACATTGTGGGGAGACGCGAGGCACTCCCTGCAGGGCTTAGAATGGCTCCAGTACCTCCCAGAAGTCTGCTTTGACCAGGAGACTAGAGTATCTGGGCCTTATTTTTGTCTCAGAGCAGGCCAATGCATTGCAGACAAGCTCCTGCGGCTTTGGACCGTGCTCCTATTACTTTTGCCTCGTGAATGCCCCTCCCAGTGGTCTTGCATCTGGACTCTGGGTTCTATGGTATCTACCTTCCAGGCAGTCATGTGTGCGCAGTTCCATGCGAGAACTCTGCAGGGGAAATCCTGTCCAAATGGAACGTATCTATAGGATCCCTAGCCGACCATATTCATCTGGAGCAATTAACGAGAGCCTTCCTCCTTTGATTCTGGTCCCCTGTCCTGCATGCCAGGTGGTAATTCGTCCCCTTCCTCTGACCAGTTGTAGTACAGATGCCAGCCTGTCTGGCTGGGGAGGACCCTGAGTTCGAGAGCAGAATATGGCCATTGGACACTGGAGGGGAGGCTTGGTTTCTTATCAATGTCCTGGAGCTGCAAACATTTTGGTTATCTGGACTACCCATCTCCGCAGGCTCCCGGTCAGGATGCAGTCAGACAATGCTGTTTTTCCATGGAATCCAGCAGACGCTTGTTCAGGCTTACGCCATTAACGGATGGGCTCCTCCCTTCCCCGTTACGATGCGCTCCACTAGGGAGATGGTGTCTCCTGTGCTTTCTGGCATCTGTGTCTCTGGTTTGCGAGGTGGCTACCGGATTGTCTGTGCACACTTTGCGGAAATTTTACAATGTTGATGGGTTTGCATCTTCGGCTGCTTGTTTTGTCCTCAAGGCTTGCAGTTTTAAGAATCCTTGTATGCCCCTTTAGGGGTTGTTTGGGTGGTTGGCGTGTTTGCCTGGTTGCTCCAGTTTATTTTTTTGTTTTGTTTTCCCACCCCTCATTGAGACACTGCTTTGGAACATCCCTATGATCAAGATTCAGAAGAGCTGTGTCCGTCAATAAATGTAAGCGAAAACAGGATTTTTTTTTTTTTTTTTTTTTTTTTTTTCCTCCCCTCCCCGTAAAATTTCTTTCTCTGAGTTCACTGATGGACACAGCACCCACCCCTCTATTGGAATTTATACTTTGAGATTGAACTGCTTTGTTACCGACTGGATTGCCTATGGCAGAAAGGGGGGTTTTATACCAGAAGGGACTGCCCATAGGCGGTGCTGAGTACTTTTCTGCCTAATGTGTCCTGTCAGTCAATGAACTCAGAGAGAGGGGATTTTATGGTAGCAAAAAATCCATTTTTTTTTTTTACTTGTGTTTTGTTATGCAAAGATAAGAGTGTAGATCCCACGTCTTTGCCATTGTGTAAAAGTGTTAATAAGATGTTTTTTTTTTTCTTTACTATATCTTAAATCAGAAGCTGAAAAAACTGAAGATCATGGAGGAGTTTCTGGCCAGTCTGGTTTACAACGCACCTACAGCCAGGACTGCAGCTTTAAGAACAGCATGTATCGTGTGGGAGACTATGTGTATGTAGAGCCTGCTGAGCCCAACCTTCAGCCACATATTGTTTGCATAGAGCGCCTTTGGGAGGACAATGCTGGTGAGTTCTTTCATTGGTTATTAACCCCTTAAGGAATATCTGTCCACAGATGGGCTTATGCAGGAAACTAAACATTTAGTCTTAAAGCATAAGCTTACAGTCGACACATAAACCACACCCCCAGGCACTTCTTAACATTCCTAACCATTGCAAAAGTCCTGTAGGTTTTAAAGGGTTCCCATCTATCCTGTCCCTTACAGGGATACAGGGTACTCAGGACCACATTCTAGTTTAATAAATGACCAGTATGTATATGCAAAGCTGAACTCCAGAAAACTTTAAAACGATCATTTGCAGTGTGGCTGCGTCTGCACTGCAAGGATTAATTGCTCATTTAGGTGTAGGGAACACAGAAAAAAAGATTTACTTCCCAGATCCTACGTGCTGCTAGACCAGCTCTCCGCATTCTCCACCCCCCCTGCACTCTTTAGTGTCCAAGGTCCTGACGTCATGAAGACCAATGTGAGGTCCATAGCCCTGCTTTGGACATGATGATGCCAAGGGACAGTCCACCACTGGAGTGTGGGGGAGCACTATCTGTCCAGGGGAGGAAAGAGTCAGGTAATTTAAATGTGCTTCTCTTCTCCCCTAGACTAAACAAGCAGGGAACCTTTGCAGTTCGGTTGCAGTGCCACTGCAAGGGATACGTTTAAAGTTTCCCAGAGTTTGGCTTTAATGATTCAGCTTACATCATGATTATTGATTTAGAGACTTTTTTTTTTAGATTTCTTACACATTACAATGTCATAGCATTAAATTGTATTAAGCATTTTGTAAAGATGATTTTTTTTTGTTTGTACTTGGGAGCTGTACTCATCTGTCAACTGGACTGATTTTATGCTGTATAAGTTAAAAACTGATTGGAGCCTTGGCATTTTGTTGCAGGTGATAAATGGTTGTATGGCTGCTGGTTTTACCGACCCAAGGAAACCTTTCATCTCGCACTCGGAAATTTTTGGAGAAGGAGGTCTTCAAGAGTGACTACTATAACAAAGTCCCTGTAAATAAAATTCTTGGCAAATGTGTTGTCATGTTTGTAAAGGTAAGAAAAATCTAGTTAAGGGTTCTTGCATGGCAAGACCACTTACTGTTATCTCATATATATATTCTTATTATTATAGCCAAATGTACCACCCTAACTCCTCCCACAGTTTTTACACTACAAAGACAGTAATATACCGAAACGTGCGAATTGTTCCTGATTGGTGTGCTATTACTTTGTGAAACATTTTGCCGAATGGTTCATGAAATATCGGCGTTTTTGTGGTGAAATTGGTCCCATAGGAATGAATGGCGAAATGTTCAAAACTAGAGTGGGAGCTGACAAAAGCTAGAGTATGAGCTAAAAAATCAGGACATGATTTCTAAACTGCCATCACTCCCTCATTTTCAAGTCCACCTACACAAATGTATATCAAAACATTCAGCTATCCCTGCTGCCACTAAAAATGTCCAAGGCTAAGCCATAGTCCTGATAGTTTTCACAATATGACCATTTGTTTGCAACTCATGCCGCCCATTGACATTCATTGAAACTCCACTCTAGCCACCTCAAATTTGAAGGGCAATTTCTAAACTGCAACTGTGCCTTCATTTTTAATATTTCAGAGACATACTATGCATCAAAATGTAGGTATGCATTTGTCACTCTATCAAGCTTGCCATGTGCACTTTTTAAATTTGATCAGTCAATTGGTTAGTGTAATGTTTACTATCATTTACTCACTCCAAACAATCCACACAGTTACTGTGCCCACTCCATAAAGTTACTGTGCCCACTGCCCATTCCATAAAGTTACTGTGCCCATTCCATAAAGTTACTGTGCCCACTGTGCCCATTCCATAAAGTTACTCTGCCCAGTCCAACCTTTTCACCTTTTACTCCAGCCACTCCAGACCACACAACAGATACTCAAACCACTCCACCCAGTTACTCCGCCCACTCCAGTTGTAGACTACTGGTGGAGGCAAGAACACTTCACACAATTTCCCCAGAAATTGTAGCTTTTCTAGTTTATCTAGTGTAATGCTATTTAATGACGCTAAAAGCACTGAGGATAAGAGAAACCTGTAGGCGGGCAGTACATTCTAACAATGCTAGTTCCCTGGCTATCATGCCTTTCTTCTGGCTTTCGTGCTTTCTGAGTCCCTGTCCCTAAACAAATATGTAAAGCAGGAGTGTTGGTGTGCTGCATAGTTTTTTTTAAGTCTGGCTAATTTTTTTATTTGTTTTGCTAATCCTTTTGCAGGAATATTTTAAACTGTGTCCTGAAAACTTCAGAGATGAAGATGTGTATGTGTGCGAGTCTCGGTATTCCGCCAAAGCCAAAGCGTTCAAAAAGATTAAGCTTTGGACAATGCCCATCAGTTCAGTTCGGTTTAAGCCCCGAGATTTGCCTCTGCCTGTGGTGCGAGTGGCTTCTGTGTTTGCACTTAAAAATAAAGAGGAAGAAGAGCCACCAGCTGAGAGCACAGAAGAAATGAAGGAGGAGGACAATACTATCTGCTTGGAGAAGGTATGTTTCTTATACCACAGCTGTTTGTACAGTGTGTTAGCTGTTGGTTAGTGTTTTATTAAACACATACCATTTTATAAAATATACAAAAATATCATATTTTTTTCATGTGTGTTTTCTGTCAAGTTTTTTACTGCTGACTTTTGTCTATGCGTGGGGGATCTCCTTTGGAACTGGTCACCAGGACAGAAAGTGATAGGATTTCACTTTCATGCACATAGCAAAGAAAATACCTTAGTTCCATAGAGTAACCACTTGCCCTCCAGAGGATTTACCCCCCCTTCCTGAACAGGCCATTTTGTGCATTAAGGCGCTGCGTTACTTTAACTGACAATTGCTCAGTCATGCAGTGCTGTATTCAAATGAAGTTTACGTCCTTTTTTTCCCACGAATAGAGATTTTTCGGTGGTATTTCATCGCCTGTGTATTTTTTTTTTTTCATTTGGTGGTACTTTGTAGAAAAAAAAAGCGCAACAATTTTGAGAAAAAAATATATATTTTTGACTTTTTGCTATTAAACATGTCCAGTAAAAAAAATTTTAAAAAATCAAATTTCGTCATGAATTTAGGTAAAAATGTATTCTGCTACACGGCTAAATGGTTAGCACTTCTGCCTGGCAGTACTAGGGTCGTTGGTTCAAATCCCAACCACAGCACCATCTGCCTGGAGTTTGCATGTTCTCCCTATGCCTGCGTGGGTTTCCTCTAGGTACTCCGGTTTCCTCCCACACTCCAAAGATATTCTAGCAGGTTAATTGGATCCTGTCTAAATTGGCCCTAATATGTGTATGTATGAATGTAGGTTAGGGACCTTAGATTGTACACCCCTTGAGGGTTAGGGACTGATGTGAATGTACAATATATATGTAATAAAAAAAAACAATATTGGTGAAGCGCTTCACATGAAAAATTAAATAAGTAGGTGCAATGATATAAAAATACATGTAAAGTGACCACACTGTTTTGAAAGGTATTGATAACTAGTACTAAATGATCCCCCCAAAAAATATATAAGTGCTGAATTGCAAAACAGGTCATGCATTTGCTGACTAGATCGTGCCAAAATACAATATATGCACAGTAAACATAATACACAATAACTTTGCACACTCTAACTGAAAGTGACAGGTGCTCAGTATGAGTATGAATTTTGGTTAAAAGTAAAATCCACAATAAAGTGCAATAACAAAGTGCTTGACATTTCATGTGCAAACAAACACCGCGATCCAAAATCGTAATCCAAAAGCGGCTAAAGTGCTTCCTCACCTTAACCATGCGACCCCTAAGGGCCACAATGCTTTAGGTAATATAGCTCCACCAGACTGGGGATCTCTGTAATAATACTCCTGTAGTACCACTCGATCACCTCTGCCAGGTCACTTATGCCCTCAGATGGTAATACCCCCCCTGATAATCACGAGGCCATAGAGAGGTAGACAAAGAGAGCCTCCATAGTGAAATGCCGTTTATTCCATATAGCAGATGAAAACAAGCCAAAAGAGAACACTCACAGTATAGCAGATCTCATACAGCTGGGTCTTCCATGTGCTGTGGGTGTACTGCAAGGTGCTGGGTGTTCAAAGATGGCATCTGCTGAAAGTGCGTAACCGGAAGTACGTCACCGCGCTCTACGCGGTACTCCACGATATCACGTGGCTTCATCAGGATAGCGCGATTGGTGGATTCCTGTACTATTTATAAGGCCTTCTGTAATGAGACTGCCCTATTAGGGCGGTCACTGATCCTCCATTTTCTTGTAGCCCTATACTTCCTCCGGCGGCCATTTTCCCTAGTATGTAAGAACTTACACTGGCTTCATATCCAAGCCAGGTGTATATTCCCAGGACGATGATTACAACAACGTCCATCGGAGATTTATATGTATATAAATACGTAAAGCACTGCGTAAATTGACGGCGCTATAGAAGTACCTGAAATAAATAAAAAATAAAAATGTCTTTGCTAACAAAACAAAAATCACAATACGTGTAAATTAATTGGTTTATGTGAAAGTTATAGCGTTTACAAATGACGGTTTATATACGTGAAATTTTGCACACCCCCTGCCGCCCTGTAGCAGTACATCTGCTATAGGGCAGCGGGTAATGGAGGGTTAAAGGAGACATATAGCCAAAGCTTTTTTGGCTGTACTTTTATGGATCACAGGAGTGCAGTTCGTTCTGCATTCCTGGGACTCGTTTGCAGTCGTCACAGAGCTCCTGTGTTCAGGATCCACCCAGAAGCCTGGACTGGCAGCTGGCTCGGCCTCTCAGATGCAACGCTGGGAGACTTGGCCAGCTGCTCCCTCCCCGTCACAGCCTAGCGCTCCAGTGAGCACTGGACAGGCAGAGCAGAAACTGAAAGTCATAGGTGTCTGCTCAGAGTGCAGCAGAGAACTGAGCGATCTTTGACCATTCAGTTCTCAGTGCAGAGCCGGCGGGGGGCATATGCAGCATTGGATAAATGGATGAGTATAAATGTTTTTTTTTTTTGTTTTGTTTTTTTTTTTTTTTTTCCCCCATACTTCTCTTTTACCACTTCTTTTTTCACTTTTATTTGTTGTCCTTGGGTTAAAAACGTTTTGTTTTATCAGGAAAAAGAAGATGTTCCAGTTGACATGCCTAATGGGGAACCTGGATGCCATTACTATGAGCAACTTCGTTACAATGACATGTGGTTAAAAGTTGGGGACTGTGTGTTTATCAAGTCTCATGGTCTTGTTAGGCCAAGAGTGGGCAGGTAAGAACTTCTTAACCCTTATAGAGATTTCAGTGTTAGCCAATACAAGTTAAGGAGCCTCTGTGACCAAGCCCCGGAGGGCGGGCCAGAATGGTGGATGAGGCCATTCCTCAACATTGGACTCCTGGGGTCGGTTGAGCAGCTTCCATCCCTTCACTTGTATTTTCTGACACTGGAATTGCTCAGACTCATGCTCCCCTCTTCTTACTTGCCGGTGAGGTGATCTTTTTCCTTCCATCCATAGCTTGGAGCGGTGCCATAAGGTATACTTTTCCTTATAGAGATTTATTTCAAATATTTAGGATAAATTAGGACTTCAATTGTATTCTGTAATGTTCTTGAAGGAGAAATATCATACCTAAAAAAAAAAAAAAAAAAAAAACATGTTTTGGCCACAAATAAAAGATTCTTGCATCGAGTATTCGGGTCAGTACCTAAAATGACAGTTTACCTCTATTGCTCATATAGCACATCAGTATAAACCAAACTTATCACAGTAATGATCTTTATATTGCAAACTAAGGGTCATAAAGACTTTGAAATTTACCTTCATAGGTACTTGTAAAATGAACTCAGAAAGAGCAAATGACTGATATTCTTAATGCATTTCCTGCATCAGAGTCCACTTTTATCTCCCACACTAGAACCCAGTGTAGCCTGTGCCTGCATGGTCCAATACACATTAAAGGCATTACTGCAGGGGATCCAGGCTTATAGAGCCACAGTGTTTTGGGGTGTTCGTCACTGTTTTTATCTTAGGCATTTTAGAGCACTGATGTTACTTGGACCATGACCATAAACAAATGAGAAATCACTTACTTTCTCTGAAGTGGTCTTTGCTCCACGAAATAATTAGAACATAATTTATTAGGACTGTTGGAGATTAGTCAATTTTATAAGCATCTATGGATGTATATATGCAGGGACGGATTGACCATTTGGGCACTTGGGCACTGCCCGAGGGCCCAGGGTCAGTAGGGGGTCTCATGAGATGCCCCTAGTACCTTTCATAGGCTTTTGAGGGTGTGGTTTGAGTGTGGGTGAGGACACAGGAGCTCCATGATCCTCTGTTGCCCGGGGGCCCCATGAGTTGTCAGTCCGCCCCTGTATATATGCCTATTATAGATCTGTTACAATATATTTCTATTATATGTCTGTTTTATATATATCTTTTGGTATGTAGTGTAGCTTATTACTGTCATACAGTATATACAGGCAACATCTCAGTAAATAGAAATAGGCAATTTTTTGTACTGGGCAATATACCCCACCTTCTTTTCTGTTTAGGATTTTAATGTAAAAATATTTTAATGACGATTGAAATTTGTGCCAAAACATTAAATATTGAACAAAATGGGCATATTATTATAAGATATTCTTCTTTAGAGAATGTTATGCATATAATATGTCAATACATTTAATTTTGTTGTCAATTGTTTGCAAATAATTTTGCCTTGGTATCCTGGAGATTGGATTTTTGGTCCTACTTCAGAACATTTTAAAGTGGCTCAAGGACCACAGTGTTTTGTTTCTTATCCATTTGGCATGACATAGATCTGACCCTCAATGTCAGAGTGTTTCAAGGATCAGAGATTTGCCTTGCTAGTTAAAAACAGTGTTAAGGAGTTTCCCAGATTCTTGTTGTAAATGCCAATCCCATTTTACTGGTTCAGTTTAATTTTGTGAACGTTGTATCTCTTTTGTGACTACTAAGTGTTGTACGTTGACAGTTTCATATTACGCTGTAATTTTTGTTGACCAGGATAGAGAAAATGTGGCTTCGGGATGGAGCAGCCTATTTCTTTGGACCAATATTTATTCATCCCGAGGAGACAATTCATGAGCCAACTAAAATGTTCTACAAGAAGGAAGTGTTCTTAAGTAACTTGGAAGAGACCTGCCCAATGGCCTGCATTTTAGGTGTGTTTTTTTTTTTTGCTACACTTGTATGCAGAAAATTTTTAAAAAAAAAGGACGTATTATCTTTTGATTGTATGTTTGTTTTTTTAGGTAAGTGAGGAGGAATTAGAATTTCTGTCAGTGTTTTATTTTTTTTTTAAATTTCTTTATCGCCTATTGAGGGACACAGTAATTTAGGAATTCTGTAACAGTCTGGTTTTATTAACGCCCACAAGACATTATCATAGACATTAGGCAAGCCCCTGTGTCCTAGGAGGTTTGATGCCTTTTCAGTACTTCTGGGGGGAAAAAAAAGGCTTAACTTTATTTTGCTAGCCTTTTTTAAACTTTTTTTTTTTCACTTTTGTTTTTTTTCAACCAAGATACTCTGTACACTGATATTTGCTTCAGTAACTTCAATATAATAAAATTACAGTTATTAAAAAAAATTACATATTTATTTGTTAACCACTTGAGCTGCTGAGGATTTACCCCCCTTAATGACCAGGCCTTTTTTTGCTGTTTGGCACTGCACTAATTCAAATGATAATTGCGCGGTCATGCAATGCTGTACCCAAACGAAATTTACGTCCTTTTTTTCACACAAATAGAGCTTTCATTTGATGGTATTTTATCATCTGTGTGCTTTTTATTTTTTGCGCTATAAACAAAAAAAAACACAAAAAGTTTGAAAAAAAACAATATTTTCTACTTTCAGCTATAAAAAATATATCGTAAACTCAAAGTTAGTCATAAATTTAAGCCAAAATGTATTCTGCTCCATGTTTTTGGTAAAAAAAAATCCCGTGCATTAGCGGGCAAACTGGCGCTATATGGGAGGGGCGCTAACACTATCGGAAGTCACCAGTGACACTAATACAGTGATCAGTAAAAATCTGTACACTGTAATCAATGACACTGGTGACAGGGCAGTGAAGGGGTTAACTGGGGGGGGGGGTGGGGGGCGATCAAGGGGTTAAATGGGATTACTGGTGTACTGGCAGGCAAACTGGCGCTATCTGGGAGGGGCGCTAGCACTATTGGAAGTCGCCAGCGACACTGATACAGTGATCAGTAAAAAACTGATCAATGACACTGGTGACACAGTGAAGGGGTTAACCTGGGGGGGGGGGGGGCGATCAATGGGATTACTGGTGTATTAGCGGGAAACTGGCGCTATCTGGGAGGGGCGCTAACACTATCGGAAGTCGCCAGCGACACTGATACAGTGATCAGGTTCACTGATCAGTGACACTGGTGGGGCAGTGAAGGGGTTAACTGGGGGGGGGGGGGGAGATCAAGGGGTTAAACGGGATTACTGGTGTATTAGCGGGAAATCTGGCGCTATCTGGGAGGGGCGCTAACACTATCGGAAGTCGCGACACGACACTGATACAGTGATCAGTAAAAATCGATTCACTGATCAGTGACACTGGTGACAGGGCAGTGAAGGGGTTAACTGGGGGGGGGGTTAAGGGGTTAAATGGGATTACTGGTGTACTGGCGGGCAAACTGGCGCTATCTGGGAGGGGCGCTAACACTATCGGAAGTCGCCAGCGACACTGATACAGTGATCAGTAAAAATCAATTCACTGATCAGTGACACTGGTGACAGGGCAGTGAAGGGGTTAACTGGGGGGGGGGGGGGGGGGGGGGGCGATCAGGGGGTTAAATGTGACCTAGGTGTGTTCTAACTGTGGGTATGTGCTGTTTTACTCACTTTTACTGTGTCTTCTCTGTCTGGAACGGAATGTGTCCAGGCAGAGAAGAATGACATCATATCCTGTCCTGTGTAAACTTCAACACAGGACAGGACAGGGACCGATCATCTGATTTCAGCCAGACGTCACTGGCTGAAATCTAATGATTGATCCCTCCGGGATCGAATGGTGTCACCCGCGGGTCGCGCGGGAGCGCGCGCTCGCGCGCCCCCTGCCGGCGAAGACGTCGGGAGCGCGGAACCCGTTTTAAAACGTAGTTTTGCGCCTGAGTGCCGCCTTGCACACGTTTATATACAGTGGCAGGGCGGCAAGCGGTTAATAGGTTCCTGTGCTTTCATTTCATTAACATTTTGTAGATGTGCAAAAATTCAAACAACTCAAAAGTAGTTATTTTAACTGATCTATACATAGCGAATGTTTACACACCTGTGTGTACAGGCACATTGAAAACAGTGGTCTGCATTTACATCGGGAAAAGAAATCGCCTGTATGCCTAAAGACTCAGAGCACAAAGGCACAGTGGGAGAAATCACTGCAATAACATCATTTACTTAGCACAGCAATCATCTGGATGTGTTTACCAGGCTTTAAAGGGTTTTTCAACTTTTGCAGCCTAATCAGGATGGCATCTATTTCATATTTGTTACCTGTTTCCATTTACATAGCATAAAATTAAGGGCTTGTTCACACCATGGTGCAGAAACGTCAGTTTTTCTACACGCACAACAAAATCAGTTGTTCTCTATGTGCCCTGCTCACACCACAGCACTAATATTATGTGCAGACTTTTTCTTTGCAGCAATCTGCAACGTGTATAAAACTCATTGAAGCGTGCATGAAAACTGATGTCTCTGAAAGTGAAATCTGCCGGCAGTTTACATCAGTTTTCATGCATTCATGGTGTGAACGAGGCCTAACACATTTCTGCTTACCTTTTAACTTGTATTTGACATGAGTAAAATCTTACCTAGTGTCTCCTTCAATGTAATGTTAAGGAGGGGGCTGGAGATGTTTAACATGATTAACCCTGTGTGTATGGTGCTGACAGATCTCCATTATCAGTTCCTAACTAGAATTCAGCACTGTGAAATGATTAAAGATCTCAAGCCGTGGGCAGTTCCAATTTTAAAGAGGAACTAAACGCACTCTTAAATTTTTTTTTATCTTAAACACTCAACCCCCCCTTCCCAAAAGAGAAGCTAATAATTTCTTTCCTATTTTTTTTACTGATGTATGTATTTCATGCTGCACCTTCATTTAAATATGGTGGTGCAGAAGAGATGGTGCCGCTGCAGGGGAGCAATTTAGTTCCTCATTGAGCGCCTCCTGCAGTTAATAGTTTTTTTTTTTTGTTTTTTTTTTTAGACATCGTATGTTTGTTTGTACTTCATCTTAGGAATCTAGTTTTCCCTGGCACTTGGTTTTGTAAACATTTCTCCTTGTTGACCACATTATGTCGGTCTGGTTTTCTGGGTAGTGTGTGGTTCCCCCTGTTTTTAGGTGGACAGTTGGTTGGTCCTTTACTTCACTGATTGAGGCCCAAAAAAAAGGTAGCATTTTCCCCTTAGCTGTGATTACCTATCCTGAGTTGGAGTGCCAGGCCAGATTAGTACAAAAAAATCTTATTTTATTGTACAGGACAAGAAGTAAAAAAAAATGTAACCTGGTGGCCCACAGACAGAAAAAACCTGACATATATTTAAGCTTTTTCCCTTTTTTATGCAAAGCTAAAATAAATTACCAGGATTGAGCTTTAAAGTTTGAAATAGTGTACCAAAAGCAATGCAGTTACTGCTTTTTACTGTCATTTGCTGTGTAATATGCTGTTTCCAAATTAATGCTTAGGACAGCAACCTGAAGAACTAAAAATTATTAATTATTGACTGTTAAACTGTTTATAAAACTATATTCCTTGAAACAATTCTAATCAGAACTAGTGTTTTATAGTAGAAGCAATTTAACACTGTTGCTCCAATAGGAAATGGTTTCTTTAATGATGTTGACTTTTTGTTCTGGGTATGGGTGTGATACTATGCACTTTGAAGTAGGATGGTTTAGCTAAACTCTGTACCACTGGTGTTGTCTTGCAGGAAAGTGTGCAGTGTTATCATTCAAGGATTTTTTGTCTTGTCGCCCAACTGAAATCCCCGAAAATGACGTATTGCTTTGTGAAAGTCGTTATAATGAGAGTGACAAGCAAATGAAGAGGTTTAAGGGGCTGAAAAGATTTTCATTGTCTGCAAAGGTTGTGGATGATGAAATTTATTATTTCAGGTAAAAAAAAAAAACTTATGCTGTTCATTATACTATTTCCCTGCATGTATTATTTTATGGTGTTTAGCATCCTGTGCTGACAGAAATATGGAGGCTGCCACTGCTGACCTTCTGGAAATACTAGTTACCTGGCCATTTCTTTCTAAATATTTGGAGTCACTGACTGGACGTAAACATGCCGCTTTCGTAATCCCTTTCAAGGGGAACTATAGTGGTTTTGGTGTATATTTGAGGGTTTTTTTAAGTTTAAACTGGTGTATTTTTAAATTTTATTTTACATTTATATAACCTGTTACAAATATTTAATAAGTGGTGCACCAATGATGCTAGATTTGTAGAATGTTGCGCATATTCTACAGAGTGAGCAGAACAGTAACCTCTCAGTTTTGTGTCTCTCTAATTGAAAAGTGATACAGTCCTATACAGTGAAAATGGGGGTGAGGGAACTTATTTAATTTGTGTGAGTAAAGCAGGCCATAGAAGATACGATTTCCTTTCCTGCAACCATGGGTTACAGGAAAGAAGGTCACTGGATTCCCCTATCAACACAGTAAGTGTTGATGCTGAAATCCCTCCTGCGGAGCTATTGTGTTCTCCCGGTGGGGGGGCATGGGGACCTGTCCCTGCTGAGAGAACACAGTGATTATTGCTAGGGGCCGTAGCTGCTGGCAGTAATTGCATATATAAATCTGACATGCTGGTTGTACCCAAGGTGATCGCCTTGGGTACATTCAGCCTGCCCATAGATGGTTTGAATCTTGACCGGTTCCTGCTGAACTGACTGACATTAAAACCATGTGTGGTCAGCTTAAAATACAGCTTGATCAACAAAACAGACAGACATGATGTATTTTGAAAAGAGAATTGGACAAAGGCCAGCCTACATATTTTCTTAGTAAGTTTTCTTTAAAGTGGACCAATAAATACATATCGGTATATACAGCAGCATTCTGTTTTAGAAGTCTTCAGTTGCAGTCAGTGACTTTGTCTAGACCAAAGTGATTTTATAAGTCTGTTACAGATTGGAGAAGGCATTTGTTCATTTAATCTTCCCAGTATTCATGCTGCAACATTGTAGTTTGTAGTAAGTTGCAAGGGTGTAAAGCTGGCCATGCATGTGTAGATTTTCAGATGAGAATATTCATAAGAAAAGTCTTCCGAAAATTCTTTGAACATTTGATGAATGAACGAATGTCATTCGAAATTTGTCTTTTGCTATTAACATTCAACTTTAAAATGAATATCATTTCTGAATGATAACCACATACACTGGTCAAAAATTAGTTTTGATCGAGAAAACTTTTCCTTCTTGCCGCTTCGAATTTTCCCATCACTGCTGTTGAAAATGAACATTGATTTGACCCCACTATTAGAAAATCAAACGAATATTTTTAAAATTAAAATTCTCAAGAGAAAATCTATACGTGTATGGCCAGCATAAGACAGCTGATCTCCATAACATATTTGTGAACATAGCCAAGAATTGCATCTTCACCAGGACTTTCATGATTCTGTTATTCTTGAGCTGGCAAGTCACCCCAGGAAGTAGATTGTAAATGTGAATAATGCTGGAAAAAGATGGTGCCATCCTTCTGGGGAGAAAAGCAGATGAAGACACTGTCATAGGGCATATTGTGATCTCTCCATGACTTGAAAAGAAAACTGGAAATGTTTTTCTCATAATAATATTTAGTGAACATTTTCAATTACAGTTCTGACATTGCAGGTTCAAAAGTTAACTCGAAAGTATACATTTCAAGTAGGAACATCATAGTAGTACAACAAATAGCAGAGTATAAAATCTATGGAGGGGGAAATTGGTTGTAGTTAGAGGATCATTCCTCTGAAAGTTCCTGAGTTCTGGTAAGGGTTTCACAGTGGCTTGACCACCCCTCCTGAACTTGGGCAGGTTTTGTTTCTCTCATGTGACATACATGCCTGCTAAGTAATGTGTAAGTCTTTCTGAAGGCAAGTCTGCTTTAAAGTCATATTTACAATTGTTTCTAACCTAGTTGGCAAAGTGAAACTACTGGTAATTTCAAAGTAGCAAAAATATTTCTTCTGAAAAGTTATTTATTTTTTTGTAGAAAACCTATTGTTCCTCAGAAAGAACCATCTCCCCTCCTGGAAAAAAAGATCCAGGAGTTGGAGGCAAAGTTTGCTGAGTTGGAAGGAGGTGATGAAGAGATTGAAGATATGGGAGAAGAGGAGGGTGAGATCTTGGAGGCCCCATCTGTCCCACAACTCCAAACGCCCATGTCTGGTGAATTAGAGCTCATGCCATACACTCCCCCACAGGTAAACAGAAAGCAATATTAGGGGAATCCTTTGCTGATGAATTTATAGAGCTTGTTAGAAGTTAGTTACTTTAAAGTAATGTCCAGATACAGTTAATTTTTAGCCTAGGTTTAACATATGTTTGTCCTCCAGGGTCTAAAAGTGGACTTTACATTTTTTAAAAGGAAGTGATATGGTTCTATGTTTTGTGCCCCCTGTTTACTCATTGTGCAGGTAATTGATTTTGTTTTGTCTGCTGCTCTCTCGCTGAAAATGGACAAAGTCTAAGATCTTAACTATCAAATTTACAGTAGGTTGGCAAGATGTATCAATGCTATTTATTACCAGTGTGCTCTAAAAGAAGGTACTGGGCTGTGGGACCAACAGCAGATATAGCACTTGATTCTATATTAAAATGCCCACTTATAATACTAGCTTTTTCCTGCTATGTGCTTGCTTAATTCCAGCGCACCCCCACAAACATGTGCATTTGCTGCTTGTTTTATTTAACGGATAATACAGTATCACCCTACAAAAATCTGTTTGAGGGAAGCCTACTTAGAATGGGTTGATGACATATCTAATTTCATCTTCTCTAATGGATACAAGGAATATAAGCCTTTAAAATCCCAATACATAGAAAAATCAAAACCTATTTTGCCTAGACACCTTACATATTGATCACAGCTGTAGTTGGACTAGATCAGTACAATATGTAACAAGTCATGGTAAGACTTGTTACCATGTATGTGGGCATTGGTGCTTCTTCCCATTCCTCTGTTCCACTCTTTCTGTCAGACATGGAGGAAACTGATTTGACATCATTGATATCTGCGCATTTGATCTTTTCTTTAAAAATCAAGCCTTGGCAAGACAGGAATACAACACGTCCTACTTTCCTAAGACTCTTTTAAAGACTACCATTTTTATGGCATTTATATAAATGGGTTGTTTTACTATGACCTTCTTACTAGTCTCTACCAATCTGGCCCTCATTTCTGAAAGCAAATCTAAAGTAAATGAGCAACAGAGAGGAGAAAGGCCACTTACACATCTGTATGCCTCTCCCAAATCTCTCAGAACATTACTGTGAGGGCAGAAATTGTTACAACAGAATTACTGAAAAAAAGTACATGATTTCATTGTTGTGATCACACTTTAAGGAGCCTATTTATACAACAAAAATTGCTGTAGGAATGTCACTTACATTTGCCAACATGAATAACTGCCATATTGTGTCTAAAATGTTTATATCCAATGATCGTCAGCTCCATGTAGTGACTATGTTGTTTTGTTTTCTTGAAAAGCCTCAATTAGGGCTACCTCAGTCACTATATGGAGGCGACAAACGTAGCAAATAAATATATTAGATACTTTATAAGCTGACATACATGGCTGGGGCTGCCCAAAAAGCTTTGACACAATGGTTTTGATTTACTAAAGGTATACTGTGCACTGCAAATGCAGTTGCTTTATATCCAAGGGGAAGCTCTGAAATGAGGCAAAGCTCTGCTGATTTCTTTCATTCAATCATGTACAAGCAAAAATGCTGTGATTTTATTTTCCTTGCATGTTCCCCTCAGATCTAGAGCAACTGCAGTTTCAGTGCACAGCCTATTTGCCTTTAGTAAATCATCCCCAACATGTTGGGGTATGTAACAACATTGTCCACATCGACTTAGGTTTCTTCCATTTGCTCGATCCATTCCCTCCCATTTTATTTGCATCCTACTGACACTGCTGAAAGTGCCAATAGCAAATGGCTTTATTGTAACATTGCAGTAATGTGGAAGGATGCATGTACAAATGTATGCTTAAGTTATGTTGCACATGATCATACCCCGTACCAGTTGCACATCTTTCATGTCTTTTAAGCGTGTTCTGGTACTGATCTTACAATTCTGTTGTAAAATATCTTGACTGCAACAATTTATAGAACATGTGTGTTCTTATTTTAACCTTCCAAAACTCCATAAAACATATACCCTTTAAAAAAAAAAAAAAACATATTAGACACAATTCATGCCAGTTATGCAAATGCTTGTGTCATATGTACAGCATTTTTTTCTGTATAAAATGAACTCCTACATGTTGCTACTTTTTTTTTTTTTTTATAGCTTTTATGAAGGTCATCACAGTTCTACCCACCCCCTAGTTTAAAATGCCATTACAAATAGCTATAAAACTAATTGCTTTGGACCAGTCATTATTATACAAAGCACATTGCGAACATTTTTGACATTTTTCTAAAACAAGTCTGGATTTTGAGAGAACGTGCTCCCTGTCCAAAAATAAACTGTTCAAGTTGAACATAAATAGAAATATGCATAAAACATGGGAGCTCTGGGGCTTTAAATCTCCTGTTTGCTTCATTACTTAGGGCCATATTTATAAAGCAGTGAATCTGAAATTCACCAAATATTCACTACAGGTGCTATATGTGAATGTTTGGTGTAGGTCACATTTTATGTTTTTCAAAAGTGCCCTTTGGTGGGCCACTAACTAGAAACTCACTGACTACACTTATTAGTAACTCATTGTGGTCCTGGCATTATAAAATTATGTTAGCTTAACATTTTCTTGTTGCTATACCATCCAGTCAGAATCTATGTTTAATTTACAGTGCTGGACTGCAGAAAAAACAGTTGGAATCTGATTGGGCAGCATGCATTAGCATGCACCTATTATAATTATTGGTAGTGTTCTCCTGACGAGTTCTTTTTTAAACACAAACATAGTTTGATCCGTCTTTGTAATGGCAGCTTCAAGCATACACTTCAGTGTGTTTATTATAGAAAATCTTTATGTACAGTCAGTTATGTGCAGTATGCTTGAGACGTGTATATTCTGTTTTTGCAAAGGCTAGGTTTGATTGTCTGATAACTTAATATTTGATCAGAACGAAGAAACACAATACTTAAAATATAATCATTCTTATAACATAGGCACAAATAGTCGTTAGAAAGCATAAAGGCTTTTCCATTTTCTGTGTGATGCAGCATGCTTTCTGCTCATCTAATAGCCTTATATGTGAGGCACCATGTTTAATGTAGAATAAACTTCAATATATGGAGGCTTTGCCGCTTGGACAGAATAAAGTAAAGCAGCAATACCACGTATATATGCTGTCTCATAGCTCATGACATTCTTGTCTGAACTAAGAGTTTTGTTTTAATTTACCAAATGCAAGACAACATTGAACCAGAAAGTTTTTTGTTTTTTTTATTTTATTTTTTGTTAATCCTTTGCAATTGGTGTTTTAAAACACTAAATCAGGCCGCCGTCGCCGCGCTTTCAAGCTCCCCCCGATGCACCGACGACCTGACGGCAGAGGTCAGGCTGCCCTCCCCTTCCTCATTGACGCAAAAGGGGAACGTAGCAGAGCCCACTGAAAAACCCAGTGACAGACAAAAGCAAGATGGCGACCCGGGGCAGACAGTGGACAGCAAATTGCCCAAACCGTTATTAGACAATGGAAAGGTAAATTTTGAAGAGACAAGTTCAGGGATGCTGTTATTTTTCCGTATCTAGTATTTTTTTTTCGTACTTAGTGGGATAGTTATGTCTTCTTTCTGGGGTGGGCAGGGTGAATGGCGCGTGGTATTGCTGCTTTGACGTGGCTGTGCTTGCGTATCTGCTGAGTGTCTTCCTAGCTTTTTATTTTCCTTGTATGTTTCATTGCCTAGATCTCATCTAACATAGAACCATACCAAAGCTGTCCACTCTCTAACAATGGATAGTGTAAGACTGCTGGTGTGTACAGCAGCCACCAGAACAATGTTTTTTTTGTTTTTTTTTTATCCACTGGGTTCCAATAACTGTAATCTATTATGTCCAAATAAAGATTCACCCTAACCACTTCTGAAAAAGAATTATTTAACATTTACGTCCCTTCTAGTCGACGCCAAAGTCTGGCAAGAACAGCACTAAGAAAGAAGGAGGGAAGAGGAAGATTAACATGAGTGGTTACATCCTTTTTAGTAGTGAAATGAGGGCTGTGATAAAAGCTCAGCATCCAGACTACTCTTTTGGCGAACTCAGTCGTTTGGTAGGAACAGAGTGGCGGAATCTGGAGGCCACAAAGAAAGCAGATTATGAAGGTAATCCATCAATCTGTTTTGTGATTGTTCTATATATCATATGTGGCTGTATAAATGGCATTAAAGTGTGGAAACCCACACAAAGATTTAAACCAGGGGTTTCCAAACTTTATAAACAAAGGGCCAATTTACTGTCCTTCGGTCTTTAGCTGGGCCGGATCATGGCCATTGGGAGTAGAAAATGTCCTGGCATCACTGGGAGTAAACAATGCCCCATTGCTATCTCAGCCAATGAGGAGGCAGAGACCCGGTACAGCAGAGGCTGTCATTCACATCGCTGGATCGCGATGGGGCTCAGGTGGTGTCATTGAGAGGAATTGTGCCCCATTGATGGTGTTATTGGGAGGAATTGTGCCCCAACATTGGTGACATTGAGCTCCATTGTTGGTATTATTGGGATGAACTGTGCCCCATCATTGGTGTGATTGGTAGGAACTGTATCCCTTTGTTGGTGTTAGTGAATGAAATAGCGCCCCAAGGGCCAGGTGAAAGCAAGCAAAGGGCCACATCCGGCCCCCGGGCCACAGTTTGGAGACCACTGATTTAAGCAAATCCCTTTATAAGAGAAGCATTTTGGCTGTGATTGCTCACCCTCTCCTGAAAATGCTAGTTGCCCTACTACTATGTGGCTGACTTAAATACGCCTGGGAACAAGTATGCAGATCTGGAAAGTAGGAAGTCCTTATATCCATACTTGTTCTGGGTCAGTGATGTCATTTATTGAGACTAGAGGCTTTCTATCACAACCGGGTCACTAGCATTTGCAGAATGAGAAGTTGGCAATGGCAGGCTCTATTTTTTGTTTTCTATTAATGTTGAACTGTAGACAGATATAAAACACCAGTGAATGTAAGTAACGTGTTTCCTGTAGAGTTGAAAATAGACAGAGAGAACCAGGGGCAACTGTAGGGGCCAGTCAAGTACACTCCATGAAAATTTTTTAAAGTGGATCTGAACTCAAAAAATGAAGATATGCTTTGCTATAATGAACAACTAGAGAAGTTAATTTTGCCTAAGCCGTATCCTGAAACATCTATCTTTTTTTATCTGGAATTTCTCTTGAAAAATAACATTGCATTTCCTGGTGATGAGTGTGCCTAGGAACTCCCGTGCTTACAGCCTCTTAGTTATATATCTGCAGTGTAGGACCTAAGGCACTGCTACCTCTGATTTGGAGTGACAATTAGCGATATCACTACTTTGCTACTTATTGTTCTTGATGGAGGCTCTGACATGAGGATGCAAAGCCCTGCCCCTACCAAAATGATTGCCTCCACTCAGACACACAGTGCAGAACAGTACATGGTCAATCAGTAGTGGGTAAAGATTGGCTAAAAGGTGATCAGAGGTAATAATGTAGACTAGTCGTTTGCCTTCTGCTTTGATTTTTTGGGCACAGCTTCCAGCATTCAGTTCTGCTTTAACTGCTTTCCATCCTTAGGATGTACCTGTATGTCCTTGGAAACAAGTGGTGATATCAATTTGATCAGATGCTTCTGAAGGCAGAGGAAAGATCTGGGGGTCTATTAGATTTTTAGTAAAGAGTTCCTGTGATGCCATCCCATGCTATCACAAGGGATGTTGTTCATCCCTTGTCAGCAATAAAGTTGATCCAAAAACAAAAAAACAAACGTGAGACAGTGTAAAAAAAATTAATAAAAAAAAGGTAAACACATTGTTTTCATAAAAAAATGTTTTAACCACTTGCCCTCCTGAGGATTTAACCCCTTCCTGACCAGGTCATTTTTTTGCGTTACTTTAACTGACAATTGCGTTGTCATGCAATTCTGCACCCAAATAAATTTATGTCCTTTTTTTCCCCCAAGAATGGAGCTTTCTTTCGGTGGTATTTGATTGTCTGTGCAATTTTGAGAAAAAAACTATATTTTTGACTTTTTGCTATTAAACATGTCCAGTTAAAAAAAAAAAAAAATCAAATTTCATCATAAATTTACACCCACCAAAATGTATTCTGGTACATGTCTTTGCTAAAAAAAAAAAAAAATCCCAATACGTGTAAATTAATTGGTTTATGTGAAAGTTATAGCGGTATATGAACTGGAATTTGTTTCTTATTTTTACTAGTGACTTATAGCGGGACTGCGGCAGACATTCTAACACTGGGGGGAACTGACTTAGTGTCACTGACATCCCCAGTGACACCAATACAGTGATCAGTGTTAAAAAAAAGCACTGACACTGTACTAATGGCACTGGGCAGGAAGGGGTTAACATGAGGGGCGATCAAAGGGTAACTATGTGCAGGGAGTGTTTTACTAGGGGGCTGTGTCAGTGTGCTTCACTGTGATCACCCTGCTCTGGATGGCTGTGCTGTGCACAGCCATCCAGAGCAGTGTGCCCAAGCAGTCCTCCTCCCTGTCGGAGATCTTCGGAAATCACCAGGCGCCGGCGAGTAATGACAGCCGCAGCCACGAATGGCAATGCGTGTAGAGCTCACACGCACCCCCTACCTGGAAATGCAAAATAACGTATATATATATATATATATATATATATATATATATATATACGTGATTTTGCGCACCCGTGCCGCTCTGTAGCAGTATTTCTGCTATAGGGCGGATGGCAAGCAGTTAATCACCCCCATTCCCCCCTTCCTCACGCGCAAATGTGAATGCATACGTAGGTCCTGCATGCATATATAAATGGTGATCACATGGGAGGTATCGTTGTAAACCTCCTGTCTAATTTTATTTAAACTGGTAACCTGTAAAGGCTTTTAAAGCCTCACCTATTGAGATTTTTAGTAGGGATGCACCGAAATTTCGGTGGTTGAAAAATTTCGGGCCAAAAACACCCCCATCGGCCTTTGACCGATATGAAAATAAGCACCGATACAGGTGCCGAAAATAACCTCGCCACCACCACTCAGTGGTTCTCAGCCTTATCTGAGCAACCACCGAACGATCCCAGTGCTGGGCATGGAGATAAGTGAAGGAAAGATGGCCTCCACACATCTCTATGCCTTTGGAGAATTGGAGCGCCACTTCTGGTTCCGGCGCCTTCTAAACAAGGCCATTTTTTTTTTTAAGCGCTAGATCAATGCTTTTTTTAATCTAATGCTTTACGTTGTAGAGGAGAGATGTGGGTCTTACTGACTCCATATCTCTCCATAAAGAGGACCTGTCATTGCTTATTTCTATCACAAGGGATGCATGCATTCCTTGTGATTGGAATAAAAGTGGTTAAAACATTTTTTAAAGGGACAGTGTAAAAAAAAAAAAATGAAAACCATAAAAAATGCCCCCCCCCCCCCCCCCCCCCCCCCCCCCCCCCCCCCCCCCCCCCCCCCCCCCCGGTGCTCCTGCTTTGTGGTGAACTCATATGTAGGCCACACTCACATATGTAAACGGTGTTCAAACCACACATGTGAGGTATTGACACGAACGTCCGAGCAAGAGCAATAATTCTATCACTAGACCTCCTCTGTACCTTTACACTGGTAACCTGTAGAAATTTTTAAAGCTTAAAACATAGAGATTAAGCACCGTAGTTTGACGCCATTGCATGAGCGTGCGCAATTTTAAAGCATGACCTGTTGGGTATCTTATTTACTGGACGTAACATCATCTTCCATATTTTACAAAAAAAAAATGGGGTATATATTGTTTTGGTTTTTTTAGTTATTAAAGTGTATTTTTTTTCCAAAAAATTGCATTTGAAAAATATATTAATTTTTAAAAATTGTCCTGTTCGGTTTTGGTTTTCGGCCAAGTGCATCCTGAATTTTCGGTTTCGGTACCAGAATTTTCATTTTGGTGCAGCACTAATTTTTAGGTATCTCAGTTTGTTGCCCTTTCACGGGCATGCACAATTTTTAAGTTTGACATGTTGGGTATTTAATTTGCTTCACATCATCTTTTATATATTAACAAAAAAAAAAGGTATTATCATGTGACATAAAAAGATTGCAGCAAACACCACTTTGCTCTCCAGAACCCTTACTTTAATAAAATATATATCGTTTGGGGGTTCTATGTACGTTAAATGCAAAAAAAATAAAAAGCAGATTTTTACATGTACAGTATGTGAGAAATGTCAGAATTGGCCCAGACTGGAAGTGGTTAAGAAACATGTTAACAGCAGGAGGTAGCAGATGAATGGTCTCTTAGGTCTTCTGCCTTTTCACTGTCAAATCATGGCCAAGCTGTATTGCTTAAATTCAGTAGAGAAAGATCAGGCCACTGTCTTGGCTCTTCTGTCTAATTGGACTTGGTAAATATTAATCCCTTGGCAGGTAAGCAAGCTGCTATAATACAGTATGTATCTTAAATTTTTAGCAATTTGGAATTTAGCTCTAGCTAAGCTTTCTCATTATTGCATTTAGGGTACATATGAGCTACCGAATTAAGCTATTATTACAAAATATTATCTGACCGTTAATTTGCAAACAAGACCCCCAAAAGGTATTAGTCAGTATGCACAACCACCAGGATGTGCTGAGATTAGTACATGCAGCAAAATTGCAAACCTTGCTTATCTGGGGTTTTGCAACCAGTGGTGCATTAACTTAAGTTTTTTGCAGGCATTAAACCTTTTGTATTTTTTTATACTTGTCTCCAATCACCATTTCTTGTTTTTTATCAGTTTGTGTAAATTTGTACCACATGTTTTCCACTATGCAGTAACCGCACTTATTAGCATAAAGTGTCTCTAGTAAGAACAGTCTGTAATGGCCCACAGCGGTCACTTTTTCAAGTATATGTTGCATATAAATTAGAGCTGGTGGTCTATGTATATAGCATCTATTTGTATAGCATATCTATTCTTGCAGTGTATAAGTGGGTCCCACTGTGTTTGGTTCTTTTTTGAGCTTTATTTTCTAATTAGATATTTGTAATCCTGGGGAAAATAATTCCATTTTCAGACACATAACATGTAGTTATGTGACTGCCTTAAAATATGCTGACATTACTTGTTTTTTCCAGAACGAGCTGCCAAAGTGGCAGAGCAACAGGAAAGGGAGAGATTAGCACAGCAACAACAGCAGCAACAACAGCAGCAGCAGAATTCATCTCCCAGAGCCGGAACACCTGTAGGAGCCCTCATGGGTGTTGTGCCTCCGCCCACTCCAATGGGAATGCTTAACCAGCAGATGACACCCAACTCAGGTAACAAGCAGTAATTCAATTCTATATCCATAGGAATAAAATATATACAACTCACCCTTGCTTGTGTTTCCTGTGAACTGAAAGTATACATCTCCTTTCAAGATGCAAATGCAATGTGTCAAGAAGATGCATCTAGCACTAGCTCACTTAAAAACCTTTTATTTAGTAAGAATAAAAACATACAGGAAAAACTCGTTAACACGTTTCAGCCCACCAGCAAGGGCCTTAATCAAGCTTCTAGTGCTGGATGCCTCTTTTTACTACAACATCAGTTCTCTAGATTCTGTTTGCAGCATTAAAACAGAACTAAACTCTCTGATAATTTTTCAGCCAAGGAAGCTGCCATCTTTACCTCTGTCTGATCATCAACTACCATGATGCTGCACATGTTATCAGTTATGACACCAGCCATTTAATGTTTTGACAGTTGGGTTAAGATCACAAGCAGATGTGCCAGGTATCCTTCCAGGCACGTGCCGGGAATGTAACTCTTTCTTAAAACTGTTAAAATGGATGGGTTTAGTTCCACGTTAGGCATCGTTCACACCAGTGTGCAGAGATGTCAGTTTTTCTGCATGCGTTGTGCAAGGGCACAACAAAATCAGTTGTTCTCGATGTGCCCTGATCACAGCATTGGTATCACGTGCAGATTTTTTTCTGCGCAGAAATCTGCAACGTGTATAAAACTCATTGGAGCACGCAGGACAACTGATGTCTCTGCAAGTGAAATCTGTGTGTCAGTTTCCATCAGTTTTTCTGCACGTATAGTGTGAACGAGGTCTTAAGGTGCATTCAGTTTGTGATGCCACTGGATCTGTCATTAGTTAATTGGTTACAATCTCATTTTCATTTAGCCAATGAAATTGCTGTCCTCACAGGTCTAGTGCAGACATAGTGCAGGCAATTTATGAAACAATGTTTATTATGCCAGAGTGACACTGCCACAGCTCTGTTCATAACAGACCAGCATTCACATTTTAGTTCCAGGTGTCAATAGTTCTATGCAGGCACTCTGTCTTTTCAGATTGTGCAAGGCTCCCCCAGCATGTGGTGATGTCAGGACTGGGAGAGTAAGCAGCATCAGGAACAGAAAGCCTCTAAAACTTGTTGAAGGTAGAAAATAAAGTAGTTTTACTTATAAAAATGGGAGAAGGAATTGGCAGGAGAAAAACTGCTTTAACTGTTTTGTACAATGGTGATAAAGCATGTATTTTAAAGACAACCTGTCATGAGAGCAATATGGAGACTGGAATTGCTGAACTGCTGTTGAAAATGCTAGATGTCAAAGATCTAGACACCCACCGACATATGAACCTGCCCAGTTGTTAACAAATTTAGGTTCAATATTTTTGACACATTTTCCAACCTCCCAGGTACTACAACCACCCTAAACCACATGATAGCACTTCTCAATAATTGTCAAAACAGCAACAAAGCAAACTAAGGCTTTGAAATCAGCTACATTTTTCCATACTGAAACCAAAAATAGAATTATTCAAGCCATGGTACATGAAACAAATAGAGGCCATCTTACAAGACAGTATCCTTGAGGTATGAAAGCCCTCCAACTAGATTTTAACTCCTCCCTGTAACTAATACCAGACTTATCAGTATCCAACCACTACAGCGTACCCGGGAATCCCCCCTCACCCTTTCCTACTTACTTCCACCCATCACCAACTCTTCCTTTGATCTCCTTCTTTTCTAATACCTCCTTGTTCAAGGGTTTTATAGGTACAAGCATGTGTGCTACCAAGCTGTGAATCCTTAGTATGCAGAGAACATTTGTAAAAAAAAATAAAATAAATAAATAATTAGTATGCAAATAGTACATCTAAAATGTATGTACCTTTATTGCTGCATACATTACATTGTAACCTGCCAATGTTTCTAATTTAAAAAAATGAACAATAAAATGCTTTTTTCCTGGTGGTTGTGTTGCTCTTGTGTCTATGGTACTTTGGCATGTCACATATATGCTGATTGAGTGCGTTCAGACCTGCATACTTGTTCCAAATCAGAGGCTCAAAGTATTGAGGCAATAAGGTCAGCATGACAACCAGCAGGGCACGTAGCATATTTTGATGGAGAGGGTAGGCAGTGCTAGCATCCATATTTCTCTCATGAATGGTTTCTTATAGTTACAGGAATCACCAAAAAACTTAACTAGACTTGGAGAAGTTATTGTTTCAGAGCACCATTGTGAAAAGTCATGCAGTTTCTGCTAAAGAAGAAAAGTGCTCCGGCAAGCACCTTGTGACTACTGCTACCTTCTGACTTTAGTGAGCAGGTTGTATAGGAGAGCAGATTTGATAATTTATTTAGTTCTTGAAGCCTATTTAACACGATTTACAGAACTCTACATACATTAGTCTCTGTGTGCACAGGTTGGTTTGTTTGTTGTAATACAACAGATTCACATAGAAGGATGAGGCTATAGAAAGATATTGGAAAAGGTTAATCATATGAGGACAGCCAATACCTTGGGTGCTGGATTATCTGGTTGCATATACAGGTGAAACTCGAAAAATTTGAATATCGTGCAAAAGTTCATTTATTTCAGAAATGCAAATTAAAAGGTAAAACTAAAATATGAGATAGACTCATTACATGCAAAGCAAGATAGTTCAAGCCGTGATTTCTCATAATTGTGATTATTATGGCTTACAGCTCATGAAAACCTCAAATCCACAATCTCAGAAAATTAGAATATTACTTGCAATCAATAAAACAAGGATTGTACATAGAACAATATCGGATCTCTGAAAAGTATAAGCATGCATATGTACTCAGTACTTGGTTTGAGCCCCTTTTGCAGCAATTAGTGCCTCAATGCGGCGTGGCATGGAAGCTATCAGCCTGTGGCACTGCTGAGGTGTTATGGAAGACCAAGATGCTTCAGTAGCGGCCTTCAGCTCTTCTGCGTTGTTCGGTCTCATGTCTCTCATCTTTCTCTTGGCAATCCCCATAGATTCTCTATGGGGTTCAGGTCAGGCAAGTTTGCTGGCCAATAAAGCACAGTAATCCCACGGTCATTGAACCAGGTTTTGGAACTTTTGGCAGTGTGGGCAGGTGCCAAGTCCTGCTGGAAAATGAAGTCAGCATCCCCATATAGCTTGTCTGCGGAAGGAAGCATGAAGTGCTCCAAAATCTCCTGGTAGACGGCTGCGTTGACCCTGGACTTAATGAAGCACAGTGGACCAACACCAGCAGATGGCATGGCTCCCCAAATCAACACAGACTGTAGAAACTTCACACTGGACTTCAAGCATCTTGCAGTGTGTGCCTCTCCATTCTTCCTCCATACTCTGGGTCCTGGTTTCCAAATGAGATGCAAAAGTTGCTCTCATCAGAAAAGATGACTTTGGACCACTGAGTAACAGACCAGATCTGTTTTTCTTTAGCCCAGGTAAGATGCTTCTGACGTTGTTTTTGTTTTTCAGGAGCGGCTTGACAAGAGGAATATGACATTTGAAGCCCATGTCCAGGATCTGTCTGTGTGTGGTGGCTCTTGATGCACTGACTCCAGCTTCAGTGCACTCCTTGTGAAAGTCCCCAACACTTTTGAATGGCCTTTTCCTGACAATCCTCTCCAGGCTGCGGTCATCCCTGCTGCTTGTGCACCTTTTTCTTACACACTTTTCCCTTCCACATAACCTTCTATTAATGTGCTTTGATACAGCACTTTGGGAACATCCAACTTCTTTTGAAATTACCTTTTGAGGCTTTCCCTCCTTATGGAGGGTGTCAATGATGGTTTTCTGCACAACTGTCAGGTCAGCAGTCTTTCCCATGATTGTGATTCCTACTGAACCAGACTGAGAGACCATTTAAAGGCTCGGGAACCCTTTGCAGGTGTTATGGCTTAATTAGCTGATTAGAGTGGGACACTTTGAGCCCAGAATATTGCACCTTTTCACAATATTCTAATTTTCTGAGATTGTGGATTTGGGGTTTTAATGAGCTGTAAGCCATAATCATCACAATTATGGCAAATCATGGCTTGAACTATCTTGCTTTGCATGTAATGAGTCTATCTCATATATTAGTTTCACCTTTTAAGTTGCATTACTGAAATAAATGTACTTTTGCACGATATTCTAATTTTCCGAGTTTCACCTGTACTTTATTTTGTGCCTAGCTTTTTACAGCTTAGATCAGGGGTCTCCATACTTTCTAAACAAAGAGCCAGTTTATTGTCCTTCAGACTTTAGGGGGGCCAGACTATTGCCAGTGGGAGTATGAACTGCCTCAGTGTTGGTAGGAGTAAACAATTCCTCAGGGTTGGTGGTCAGTGGATATAAAAATTTACATAGCACCTGTAGTGAGAAGGAGCAGAAATCAAGTCCCATAATTGGTATTAGTGAGAGAACTGGTGACCCAACCTTGGTGTCAGTGGGAAGAATAGTGCCCCATCGTTATCAGCAGGAGGAAAAGTGTTCCATCATTTATATCAGTAGCAGGAAACTGTGCCCCATTGTTGGCTTCAGTGGAAGGAATAATACCTTGTCATTGGTGTCAGTGGATGGAATAGTGCCTCATCATTGATGTCAGTGGAAGGAATCATGCCTGATCATTGGCCTGATCATTGGTGTCAGTGGAAGGAATAGTGTCCAATAATTTTTATTAGTGGGAGGAATAATGCCCCATTATTGGTGTCATTGGAGGGAATAGTGTCCCATCATTGGTGTCAGTGGGACGAATAGTGTCCCATCATTGGTGTCAGTGGAAGGAATAGTGCTCCATCATTGGTTTCAGTGGGACTTAGGCCTCAATGTTGGTATCGGTGAAAGGAATATTACCTCATTGTCAGTGTCAGCGGGAAAAGTAGTGCCTTGTATCAGTGGGAGGAATTGTGTTCCAAGGGCTCGATAAAGGCAAGAAAATGGCCACATCTGGGTCACGGGCCACAGTTTGGAGACCATTGGCTTAGACATTACACTCAAATGTTTTGCAAAAATAGGGGAAAAAAACTTCTTTCTGCATCTACCAATAAAGCT